ACGAGTTTGTTGTGTTCGTGATTTCCAGCCAACAACAATTCTTACTTTCCATTTATCCATTGTTGTGTTTCACATAATATTTTCAGCGCAAAGAAATGCTGCTTATGTAGGCTAGGTGAATGCAGTATACAGAAACTCATAGTGAAAATGACAAAAGTAAATGATATGGAAACATATTTCTAGACAGATCAAATACGTCTCTATAAATACACTAAAAATCTAAATCAAAGCTAAGCAATTTAGAGATTAGCTGTTATATTCACCTCTTATTTACTGTGATTTTAGTTAATCTAAGAAATAGAATAACATTCTTTTTATACTTTTTATAAGTAATCCTCTGACTTTTCTAGCTGTCATAATTTTACATCTTTTTGTGAATGACAAAATATACAATAAGTAATAATGGTAATAGAGATTAAAAAGTAAGTTTTTAAGTAAGGAAGTCTTTATAGAACAGTATGAAATATATGTATAGATCAAAGGATTGCATATTTGTGCAATTGCCAAATAGTTTCCATTTATATATTACTATGAAGTAAATAAAATGACAAAAGATAAAGATATTCCAATCTTTTCCTTGCATGATTTTTAGACTGTAAATTTCTCCCAGAGACCAGTGCTTTTAGATATGATGCGTTGCTTTAAACGTGTATGGCCTTAGCCCTCACATACGCTTTAACCTAATCTTCAATAGAGCGGAAACTAAGCTCACAATTAAAACCGCGTCATGTCAAATATCTGAGCGTTATCGCTGAAAGCATTGCTTAGTTAGTTTTTGAGCTAATGGAAAATATTTCGACTAATGCCCGCAATTAGATCATTACCCCGTTTAACAAACAAAAAAAGAAAAAGCCAAACGGCAGGCAGCTAAGCGACACGTTGGTTACACAACGTTTGCTTTACCTGAAACCAAATTGCAATTCTAATCGGCCGAAATCTTTGAGACTCATATAACAGGCAACGCTTCGAGTTAAGCCGTAGACGAACAAAGAAAACAAAAGCCAAAGCGCTGTAGTTGTAGTTGGGCACCAACCAAAAGTGAGCCACAGCAACAAGACCTTCAAAGCCAACGCAAAGTGCGTTAGACTGTCGAAAAAGAGAGCTATTTCAGGCAAGGGAGCCATGGGCGCTACAAAAACTACGAAGCGCAAATAAAGTAAGCTCAGGGTCAGCAATTGAAGAGTTTGCTACAGTTTGAATACGACTTCATATTATATGAATTAAACAAAAAAAAAAGTTTCTTCATTGCAATTAAAGTTTTTAAAAAATATATTTCGAAAAGAAAATTTGGAAATTATTTTTTGCTACGATATTTTTAAATACGATCCACTTATGTAGATATAATAATAACGCCGCTATACTTCTCTTATAGGGTTTGTTTTAAAAATATCAGAGTATCGATCATCTCCCGGAAATGCGTCAAAATACCGCAAATACCACGAAGAATGAGTTATTTTTGGTCATTATTGAGTCTTTAAGTGTGCGGATCACACTGATCCAATGTTTGATTTTATAAAATGTATATGAATATTTCCAAGTTAGCAAGACTTTAAGACTTGTTAACAAAAAAGAGGGGATAAATAAATAAGTGTATATTGAAGTGGGGTATGTTTACTTAAATAATAAAAACTTCAATGTGAAGCTGAATTCCGGCACTTTTATTTGAAATTCGGTTTTTGAAATGAATTGCACTTTTAACTATATAGTTAATTAGGAACTAAGTTCAGTTGACAGCACAATTGCTGATAAGAGTTCAATTAGCTTAATGTTAGACAAGCCCCTTTAGCTTAATTTCTGATAAGAATTCAATTATTTTAATAATAGTTGATAACAGTGGTTTGATCACTTATGCAATTCTCAGACGCCACTCATTTCGGGCTTTACATAATGCAATCGCAGCAAATGCATATTACGAAGTCTGCCGCATAATATTTGTTCCACATGCCCGAACAATGGGGCTCCATTCTCAGGCCCAGGCCTCTTGGCTACAGTCAGAGAGTGTTATATATGCTTGGAAATGCATCTATCATGCGCTGTTTCATTTTGTGGGCAATACCCAATTTGAAATCTCTAGTCGAGCTATGCGACGCGTTGCGGCTTTTTGCATTCATTTTTGCCCTCTCAGACGGGGCAGCAGGCAGCCCGAACGCTTGACCTCCTTCTGATAAGCCACGAGGGCACATAACTTTCAATTTTTGGACATGAACAGAGCAAAGCATGAAGTCTAAGCGTGTGAGAGTCACCTAGCCGGGAGTGAACAACCAGATGATACTCCGTAACCAATGGCTATGGAATTGATAATTGTATACGAAGGATGCTTCCTGATCTCAAATAAGTCAACCAAATTTATTTACCAAACAAACATTTTATATGTACTCTGAGAGTTTTATGCAAATTGAAATAGATAGCACTGATGTCTATAATGTACACTGTTACGGGAGACATATGCACATATTCCTTATCAGTTTATGCCTAAGTGATTCGCATATTACAGAGATTGTTTAATTAATCATAGCTTTTACACCATCTGCCTGTTGCATATTTATCCAAAGAACCATCACACACTCTATATACGACATAAAAGAGTATAGGCTATAAAAAGCACACCAAAAAGAAATATAACTGGCTGGATGCGACTTTTGTTGCAGAACTCGTTTGTGTTTTAGAAACCTTGAAAAAAAAACCTATCTAAGCAAACTGGTTTCGAATTTCTGTAGTTCAGTGTTCGCTTCTTCTAAGTTGAGCAGCTGACGACACCAGAAAAACAAAACAAAAACAACAACAAAAGCGAGTTGCCTTTATTTCTTTTTTAGGAGGAGTTGCACGCCGAAAATCGATTACAAATGCAAATTCTGCGCTAGGGTCTGAGCTGTGCTACAATTGGAGTCTTGCGGCACGTGAAGGTCTCAGCATTTTTGTCACTGGTCGAAATATTGCACCACTTTGCTGTATGTGGGTGTTACACTTTGTTGTACGTTTCCATTTGGATTTCGATTTTCGCTTTTCGCTGGAATGAATGTCAGGCGGACATACGTACACACATACATACATAGACATACTGTGATGTACACTTTGGCATAAACAGAACCACTGACGCTTCCCGTACTTGTGGATCACGTTTATCGATTTCGATTTCGTCGCAAATGGCAAAAAAAAAAAAACAAAAAAAAATGTTTTGGTTCTTTATTTATTTTTGCCGGCGGCATTCTCTGTGCGCTCTTTCTCCATTTATTTTCGTCTTGTTTTTCTTCTAATTAAGCAAATTAAAAATATATTTTATGTCTACAAACATATGAGTATATATTTAGGTGTGTATCTGTGCTTTGTGCTATGTCGAAACTATATGTACATATAATAGACCTATATAGATACACATGTATATACATACATATATACTATATTCGTCTACAATTTTACTCGCGTTTCAAAACGCCAACTTTTCTTCGAAACGTCTCGACTATAATTTTGTCTGACTTTGCAATTTACTTTTTTGTATCTTTGTCTCATGAAGTTTACTATATATATATATAGTATATATATATGTACTCTCAGTCGGTCTGTCAGGTTCGAAGATCTACACAAACAGATTTATGTTTAAGCCAATTTAAACCACGCTGTTCAGAGATCGATAAATAACGATTTTTTGTTCTTTAACCTATCTCTGAGGTTTTCACTTATTGAAAGCTATCAAAGAACACGGCTTTTCCAGCTCAACTTTTCCAATATAAAATTGAAAAATTAACTCATAAGCACTCGAAGTATAGCTTGATAAAGCGATGAAATACTATAGTTTATACACTTCAAAGAGATCGTGACTTAAAGCCATAAACTGTCAAGAAATCATATATATATCAATATATATATATATATATATATATATATATAAATATGGTATAGAATTATAGGGCACTTGCTAGTCGAGCACTGTCTGCTAGATCCCCAACTTGCTTCTTGGTTGCTTTTGTGCTTTTTTCGCTTAGTTCGTTGTATTTCTGTTGAACATTTTGAAATGTTTCCATTTGGTAGTTTGAATTTCAACGATTTGTTGTTGCTGCCCAGCGCAGGCGTCATAAAAGCAAAAAAAAAAAGCGATAATAAATAAAGTCAGTGGAGCATAACTTGTTACCAAGAAAGGTTTCAAGATGCGAGCACCAAGTCTGAGATAAAAAAAAAACAATATTCCGTCATGTGGCAAACGGGAAGTTTAACCAAACGAGAGGAAGTTATTTCTCAGATCAAACAGAACCCAAATTGATTTCCATGATACTTAGATTTTGTATGTACACCTTGGCAGATAAATGCCAAATAAGCAATATAGCATATAGGGTACATCACTTATGCATATATATACCACAATATATACATATTGGATTTTTCAGTTACATTTTGAGATATTTTGATTGGCCAAATAATTTGTGAATTATTGCGCCGATCTGGCTGACTGCTACTGCTCGCAGGCTTTTGTGGGCAGGTGTCCAAATTAGAGAGACTCTAGTTTACTGTACTGTCAGAAGAGAACAACAGTACTATAGACATCTAGAATATATAATCTTTATAGATAATGTCTTCGACAATTAATTATATATGCCTTGACCCACATTGCTAGCAACAATTTGAATATTTGTTAGCATCTACACCCAGTTTGTCACCTGCAGTACGCACTGTACATACGTAAGCATTTCTGTTCGTGAATAATTGAAGAAGTATTCGAAGCGCGTTAATTTAGAAAAAATAAATAAATAACATTTATGAGAGAGCAGCTGTTTTTCATGTTTTTTTTTTGCTATTTTCTGTTTTTGGGAACACAAAAGTTTTAGTTGTTGTCTTCAATAGGCAACAGTTGGCGGGCTGTGATTATTGACAGCAAATTTTGAGACGTAGAACATCGCGTATACGCACCGATGGATAGACCAAAAAAAACAAATGTGTCGCCAAGCGATAAATATGTCAATACACATTTGAGTGACTGATGTATGTATATAATATATATGTGTACGCACCTACAGAAACACATTTTACAAACATTGCCGATGCTGCGACTTTTGCTGCGCCTGCGATTGTTTTGATAGAAGACCGTGGAGGAGCCGTTGTCCGGATCGATCACTGTGTGGGCGCCAATACCGTTAGCCGCATTGATGTCTGTGGCCACATGTGTGGCATGTGGCGCGGAACTATCGACGCCAGTGGCGCCCGTCTGTGTTAGTTGCGCCAGTTTCGCTGCACTAGCGCCAATTGTATGGTCGGACGTAAGGTCGCGCGAGGCGCTGCCGCTGCTGCTAATATTCGAGTGTTTGGCGCGCTCGCGGCTCCGCTCATTTCTATAACGTATCTGGCCGGCGGCTGAGCCAAGACTGAATAGATTGCCCAGAAAGCTGCCGCCGCCGACGCCGCCGCTGATGGGACTACCAATGCCGCCGATGCCGCCGTAACCAGTTGAGCTTTTGCGTCGCCTTTGCCCATTGTTGACGCTGCTGTTGCTTTTGCTTTTGCTTTTACTTTTGCTGTTGCTATTGACAATAGCTGCGTCAACGCTGCTGCCTGTGTGGCGTATGAGCAATTCTGTTTCCGAATCAGTCTCTTCGCTCTCTTCGTCAAAGTCACGTAGTGGCAGCTCGTTATCAGTCATGGCGTAAGAGAGCGTTCTATATATATATATAAATACGATTTATGTGTATTTGCTGGGTAAGAGAGAGAGCTAGTGAGCATGTGAGTGTGAAAGAGCGCTTTACAGGTGTGCCGTAGTTTGTATTTTGTCTAAACTTGTATAAAATCGCTCAGTGCAGTTTTGCAGCTGTTGTCTTGTATGTATTTCCGCTTTCCTTTTATGCGCTCCTTCATATGGAACTTTATCAAGCGTTTGCTTGCCACGTTTTCGGTGAACTTCACTGCAGCAGCTGCCGCATACGATTTCGATTGCGACTGCAGCCACAAATTTGACAGCAATTTTTTTCGAGCAAACAAAACGTGTGGCTGCTGGCTTATCAACGGTCTTTATTTGGGCGCGTAAATATTTATAGAACACTTAAGAGTATCAGAAGCCGGGAGAATTAGCAAACACGTCTATTTAAATTGAGCTCACACATACAAGCACACGGGCGTTCCCCGTCGACGTCATCTAGTGGATCCGTAAATCGAACGCCTCATGCTCACTTTTATAAATGCCAATTGATAATAATTGTTTATCAATTATGTCGGGTAGCAGTCTGATCGGTATCACAATATATACTATAAAAAATCAACAATAACAACGCGGCACTTGCAAGTTTTATTACCAATGGCCCGGACCTCACAATTACGCACACACACACGCACGGACGCACACACTAAACACTAAAACACATGCAATTATAATTTTCAACTCTTCACTATTTTGATTAAAAGCTCGATAATTTTTGCTGCACTTGTGTAGAAATATTGGAATAAAACTAGAAAATATTTATAAATAATTTAGCACATGTTTGAGCACGTTTCAGTGTATTTATGTTAAATGTGTTGCCAGTGGCCACTGGCCAATTGTATAAATTTAGCCAAACTGCCGAGCAGCTGTTTTTGCAGTGTTGGTAAAGGCTGAAATGCTTGCGTGTTACGATGCGTTGAGCGCCAACTTAAATTTTTTTAACAATTAATCTAATCATAACTAATTAAATAAAAAATAAATAAAATAAATTCTTGATAAGCAGTCAAATTGCGAAATCTATGTCCCGACGTCTGCACGGCTATTGATTTGCCTGGGCTTTTATGCCAATCCTTCGCAGAGTCGTCTCTGATTGTATAATTCCAATTGGGGCGAACATATGTATATTATAATATTCTAGTTTGATTTGTTTGTGACCTATTTTTAGTATGACACAAATGAAGTAAAAATGAATGAAGGTCTGTCGATTTTATTAGATTTAATTTTATTTTATAAAATTTTATATATGTATCATTGTTCTTTTATCTGTCTTAATAGTTTACGATATAAACATAGAACGGGAATTTACAACGAGATCTTAATCAAAGAAACAACTAAATATGCACACATTAAACCAGTTTGTTTTGTCGCTCATCAAAAGTGTCTATAATTTAAAAATACATACACGAGTGTTCCAAGTACATAATACGTTTAAAGCGGTCTAATGAAAATAAAATTTTGCTAAAACGCAACGCAACGCAACGGTTATATATGTTGCTTTGATTTTCTTGAGGGCTTTACGTTAGTTTACATAAATATATATATTTGCATTATTATGTATACGTATTATATTTATTATATGGTTATATTGCTCCGCAGCATAAACTGCGTATTCTATCTGCGCTCCGTTTGAAGTGTTATGTTTGAGTCTGAATTTGAATAGTTCTGTTCCAATCTGGGATGAAAATCTTCCTCGCCATCTGAATAGGAACCCACAGAGCGGCAGATGCTGTAAGTAGTAAACAGAATGGAATATAAATAGGCTAAATAATGTAAACATAGAGCATAAATATCTTAGTATTTGTTAATCACCCTATCAGCACTGACTCACAAAACGTTTTAAGTTAAAATATAAACTTGTTATTCTAGTTTCAAAATGCTAATGAACAATGTACAAATTGTAAATCTAAGCCAAAAATACGTTTCAACGCATATTTAATTTGTCATACCGCTGCGTTGACGCATATCCCTCGATAGCCAGAGCTTGACTCACGCCCGAAGGCAGCAAATGCTGTAGTAATGCTTCTTTGGCTGCATTTGCCGTTGTTGGCAGTGGAACATGATTCATGTCCACTGATGAATGCGATTGCGATAGCTGTGAGTTAGCCACAGCAGCGGTCAAGCCATTTACATGTCTACCCGCACTCGTGGATAGTTTCTCGCCGTTATCAATTTCATCGCGTTGGGTACGCTCAATGTGGCGCAGCGTATCGAATAGCTCCAGCAGATTACCAAATGTGTTGCGCATATCACAGCGGCCCGTAATATCATAGCACAGCTGTGAAATGTTCTGCCGCAGCAAATAGATGGCGTACTTGGTTTGTTGAGATGGCAGAATAGAACGCGTATACAAAGGAAATCTGCAATTGAAATAGAAAGCATTAATATATGCCTGGAATTATTCAGATATTTAATTGAACAGCTCACTCTCGAGTTGCATAGGTGAGCTCTTTGATTTCGTCGACAATGCGAGCACGCGACGGCTCATAAAATATGGGATTGCGTAGCGGGCGATCCATAATGAAGGCCAACATCTGTACTAGATGTGCCACATAGCCAAGCGCCGCGCTCACCGCCAGCGGTGAGGTATTGCCCAACAGTTGCGCATTGGCTGCCTGTCGGGATTCACTTATATACTGTTCCATGTGGGGGAAGGCAATACCACAAATGCTAAACTGTTGCACACCCAAGCTCTTGATATTATAGATCTCTTGTAGTTCTAGCACCAATGTGGACATGCGGCGCTCCACCTGTTTAATATATTAAGCGAAAATGAATACATTTTAAGTCTTGCTTTCCTATTATACTTGCCTGCAGTGTGACTTGACGCTTCTGCTCACGCTGGGTATGCTGCTGTGGCAGCTGTGTGCGGAACTCCAGACGCTCTTGCTCCAATCGTAGTCGCTGATTATGCAGCTTTCTCTGTAGTTCCTCTCGCTGCTCCCGCAGTAGCTGTAAGCTCTCTTGCTGTCCTGCATTGCGCTCTTTGCAGGAAGAGCGTTCAGTCTGTAGCAAACGGTGTTTGCAGCGCAATGTCTCGATCTGCTGCATCAGTTGCTGAGCACTGTAGAGCGTTATGGGCGATATCTCATGTTGCTCGGCCAGCAGCACGCTAAGCGCCCGCCCCATGGAATGATTATTATATTGCGAATGGAGACTGCCATACGACGAGCCGGAGATTGAAGTGGTACGTGGCTTCAGCCTTAGCTCGTTACGAGTTATACATCGTACGCTGAGCCGTGCGATTTCAGTGTTCAGTTCCGCCAAGTCACCCAGCTTCTTGAGCTGATCTCGCTGTCGCCGCTGCAGCATCAACAGATTCTCCAAATTATAACTGCGTCGCATGTTCGCCTGATGGCAGCCCAGCTGGACGTAGCGCATCGTGCTCATACGCAGCACAGGGCTGCTGCTGCGACTCACAGGCGGCGAATTAATGCCATCAGTGCTCGAACTCCGTTCATTATTGTCATAGTCGGCATAGCGTTGGTATTGCATATGCAGCTGAGCGTGCAGACCTTGCTCGCTAATCAGCGCTGGAGAGGTAAAGTGCTCGCCGTTAAGATAAAAAATCAAACAGTTGGCTTTGCAATTGGCAAACGCCAACGGGGCCAGCGGTATTAATCCGGAGAAGTAAACACCCCAGCTAAATAATAACTCCGGTGGTCGTGGCAGCGTGTGAGGCGTTAACTGCACATTGGCCAAGCGCTGCGTCAGCTGCGCACTGCAAAATTAGACATATTGAGATATAAACAATAAGCTAAATTCGACACAGCGATATATGATCCAATTCAACTCATTCATACCCTGGCGTCGACTCCGTTGTCTGCTCAGTCTCGTTTAGGCCATTTGGCCACTGGGCGGTCGGCTGATACTGTGCCCAGACTTTGACACAGACACATTGCGCATTGGATTTGCGCCAGACGGCGTCACCCGCACAGATTTCCGCCCACTTTTGCTGTTGGTGACGCTGCGGCAATGCCTCGCTGGTGTAGAACGCTTCAGTAGTCTTATCAGCATGCAGTGTGTAGTAGACAAGCAGTTCATAGTCCTCCGTGGCAATGTCCTCGCCGGCATCGAGGCTGCACTCAATGTTTACTCCTTGGATGCGCGCCAGGTTGCGGAGTCGCAATTGTTGCGTTGCCAGCGGCAGCCATTCGCGGCAACGCGGTCGCAAATGCATTGCGGCTTCCGTTGAGCGTTACGCTGCGTAATAGGCGTTGGACATAGTAAAACTACACTAAATTATTTTTAAATTTACTGCAAAAAATTTACTTTGAACAACACTTTGGGAAAAACAGCTGATTTTGTCTGAACAACGGCAAATGGTGTGACCGTATTCCATCAATTTACAACTAACTGGCAGCACCAACAGTGAATTGGGCTCTTAGTGATGCGTAATGGCGCATTGAAAAAACCTAGCTTTTTAAAATTCATTCAGTTTTAGCTGATGTACTATGTTAATGAAACTTAAAAACTGTTTTAACTTTTTCTTTTAATTCATTATGTATTTAACATTAAGTCGTTAGTGAGCACCATAGTTTTATTAAATCTGGCTAAGCTAGCCTTTAAATATAAATTTCGCAGAACTGTCGTTGATGGTTAAACTGCACCACACTGGCAACGCTGTCAAAAAAGTTTATATTCGTGCGCGTAAAAGGCAGCTTGTTGCAAGGTTTTTCCAAACAAAGTATTATTGTATTCGAATACTCGAAATCAAAGTGAAAAAAACTAACAAGCTTATTAATTTTAGATGCTTAACTACATTAAGGAAACAATTATGGCACCGTCCACACGCAGCAGCTGCAGCAAAGCGGACCAAGCTCTAGACAAGGATCCAGATAAACATAAAAACCTAAAAGCTCCTGCCAAAATGCTGGGCTATAAGATAACAGACAATGAACGCACACGAAAATACGGCATAGGTGCCAATTCATTAGAAATGCTGCTGGCGAAAGCACAGCTCAAATTTCCGGTAAGTGGTTTAAATTTTTTTGGCAAATTGCGTTGCTACACAATAAAAAAAAGTACTTCAGCCCACACCCACGCACATTTGACTCTGCCCCTCCCCTCGTCCCTGGCCATGAAATTTCAAGGCCAATGCTTCCTTTGGTTGGCTTCCGCCTTGTTTGGCGCTCTACACGCTTCAATGTCAGAAAATTCTCGTGCACACAATGCGCATGCCTCAAAAAAGGCAAACAAATCACAAGCAGGGCACCTGTTGCTACCACAAGTTCCCCTTAGGTCAGGGCCTAGTTTATTACAAGTCAAGGACAGCTTTTTCATGGCCTTTATGTTTGATTATATTGTAGCTGCAGGAGTTGCACGTTTATCTAGCCATTGATGGCTTTGAAGTCTCCGACGATGAGTATTTCAACAGCTTGCCAGCCCAAACTCTTTTCATTGTGGCTGGACCCGATGCAGTCATCACAACGGGTGACCTACTATACCATAAAATACATTGTTTCATTTAAATAACCTATATACTATTTGAAAACAGATGGAGATTTTGAATTCGAGAAAATGCGGCAACAGTCGCCGCTTTTGAAGGTCGCAGACATTTTCTACGACTTTATCGAGCAGCATCCGGACAAGTTTCGACGCATGATTACGGAATATGAGCAGCAAAAACAGCGACGAGCCTTGGACAATACCAAAGCGCATCTCAGCTTGAAGGCTGAGCACTTAGAATGGTTCGAGGGCAGCGAAGAACGCTTTCAATCCAAGGAAGAGGCCATGGCCGTTAGAGCTCAGACACGTGTGCGTGGCTACTATTACAAGACCAAGGAGGAACTAACGCGTAATCCGCTGTATAGACAGAACGCCAAGGCCAGGCAAATCATTAACTCTGTGCTAGAACAATTTCGATATCTTCTCATAGGCTGCGATTACTTTTCCATGATGTTCAATCGAAAGTGCGAGCTTAAGCATGAGGTGTTACAGCAGCATATAGAAGAGGAACATCCCGATGCGGCAAGCGTGCCCAATAAACGGCTGCGGCAAATCATAAAAGATTATGCGTCGCGACATGGCATACTTGATGAATGGTCCGTTTCGCTGTGTACGGACCTTGGTGACTTCTATTGCCAAGGCGCCTACTCGGACAATGGCAATTACTGTTCATTGCAGCACACTATAAATCCATATGCTTCACGGGAGAATCTCATATTGTTTCAAGTATGGAATCTTGATCATCAAATCGAGCTGTGCCGCACCATTTTGCCGGCGTTGGTGGCCAATGTTCAAGAGCTGGTGACACAGCCCCAGCGCAAATGTGCATTGCATAACAAACGCATTGTGGACATCTCTGTGCTAGAATATTTTCTAGAGATATTCTCGCTAAAGAACCTCAAATTGGTCCACATTGTATGCCATGAGAAAGTGCAACGCTCCAATCAGTCCAATGGCCGCCTCCTATGCGCTGATTGTCACGAATATCGCATTGTACAAGAGCTCATGGATTTGCAAACGTCGGACAAAACTTCCTAGGAACATAATGCTTCAAATAGCTATATACTAAAGCAATATAATATACAATAATTATATACTTTTATCTTATATATAATATTGCGAACTGCTTAATCAAGGCTTCGGACTTTAAAATATGTGCCAAGCTAAGCTGTGTATATATCAACATATGATTTTAACAGTTGTTAACTGGGTTAACTCAATGTCAAATTGTACAAATCTCAAGTATCTCAAAGTTAACTATCAAAGTTTAGTGTTATAATAATTGACGTATTTATGCATTTAATACGAGGAAAAGTTGATCTGCATGCCCTATATACAATTTACATATATGTATATATTTATATACATGTATGAGTTAGCTTTAAATGTTGTTAATTGTAGTCTGCGTGTAGATGAGTTTTGAGCAGGTATATTGCCCGTTGCTTTGTTCAACACGTCCATTTTAAGATAATGTTAACTCAAAATATATCAAACCAACTGCATAACTGGATAAATATATATATACAATTATAATTGCATAAATAATATAATTGGTCCTATCTTAACAGCGTATAATAAAGTAGTGGATTTACTGAGTATATGTTATTGTTTAAGTGCAATATGAATACAACTTAAATATACATATAAATACACTATGAACACATACATATACATAAATGTAATATAAAATAACCTAGAATAAATTGAAGCTCATGTACCTAAATACATTTGTAACTACATACAAGTATAACAGTTTTGCTACGCTCGGCTTCTCTGTACCTCTGAAGATTAAAATAAAAATGAAATGTATCTATTGAAATATATATATATCTTTATTCCAAATTGAAAATTGAAGGTTTATTATAATATATGATGTGTGATGATATTAAATAAGTTATTGGTACCATATTTGACTGCCTCATATAAAAATCAATAATTTACAATAATGTAAATTAGATGAACTTAGAGGTCAAAAACATTTATACTGAACCCTAAATTAAATAGAAGCCAAGGGACATCAACATGCTGCATCCGCAAAGAAACAGCTATGAAGTTCAAGCAATTAAAGTTTTAAGGACCTTAACAATGGAATGTGATGTGCACAGTCCAATCACTTCTTTATGGGCGACGAGGGAAAATATTGTGGAAGCTTAGGCGAAGGTATATAGCTTAAGGCCTGTTTTATAATGAAAGGTGGGCTGAAGATTATATTTCTGGTTGATGGCCTAAAGCAATTAAATGAATGCTCTGGTAAATATGCAAAAGATAATCACATATTTTTTATTTTAAGTTTTCTGAATTCGAAATATAACTGACAGTGCCTATTTAACCAACGATGGGTAATAACAGGAATATTAGTTAAATTTATTCAAATGATAATCAAAAATTGCATCCTGAAATAGTATTAAATTTCTTAATGATTCAGCATTATCATATGTACAGATAAACATTTTCGGCCTTCACTACTAACTTCTTTAACAGTGTCTGTTTAGAGAGTGCTGTTAAATAGTATGATCAAATAGCGGCTGTTAATACTATGTTAATAATAATTTCATACTCAACGAAAAAGTTTAGCGTATTAAAAGACCTTTCCCACCCAAACATTTGGTCAATTTATTTTTTAAATATTTTTTTATTTACTTAAATGTCACTGCATAAAAAATTATACAACACAAAAATAGATATGAGTATAAAATAATAATAGTAGTCAAATAGATTTGATAACACACTCGTATGCATACGAATACCATATGTATGTATATATCTTTTGTATAAAAAGCTATGACATTGACAAGGAGTCTGTTGTTAAAATGAAAGAAATGAGAAACTATTCAAATCAAATTGCTGCTGGGTGAAGGCGACACACAGAAAGAAACTCTTAGACTGAAGTATTTATTTTTCATTTTATTATTATTAATATTATGAATCGTTTTCAGGATGCGCTTTCGTATTATCCGGATACATTTTGATGATTTGTCGATTGCGTTGATTTTCTTTTCGTTTCGTTTTGTTATCTCAGGATTAATTCATTCTCTCGGCTTAAGAGTTAGGGTTAGTAATGATTCGCTTCGCTTCGCTAATAGAGTTCGTAAGTTGTGTTAGAGATTATTTTGTTTTTTAGTGCTGCTACCAAATCGCGTTTAACAATTGAAAAAAATATTTAAAAATACGTTTTCATCTCAACTACAATGCTAAAGTTAGTTTTAAGAAATTTCACTAATAAAAACTGTTCCCAAGTTAAACATCTTTTTGATTTGTTTACTTTGCCGTTCCTAAGTATTTGCTGGTACTTAAGCTAGGGACAAGTGCATTAAATTGCATCGTTTGCTGTAGTCTGTTGTCAGCTATAATTGATTTCTATGGCTATGAGAAATAATTATAGATCCGATTGTCCCGGTCCTGAAATACAAAGTAAAACAGATAATTAATGAAAATTGTTAATTTTAATTACATAAAAACATATACGAATAAAGCTAACAATACGTTGTGGAAAGTTCTTTGTCTGCGTCTTTTTGCTTAGTTTGTTAAACTTTTATGATATATATAATTATATATCCGCAGGCCAGACATGGGAGAAAATAAAACAAAACAGTTACATATAAATGAAGCGGAAAAATAAAAATTTGTAACTTGCAGCAGTGCAAACCAAAAATAAAATAAATAGCAAAAAAAAACAAAAGCAGCCAACAGAACTTTGAGAGGAAACTTCACCTTAATTGTTTTAAATATTTTCTTTTATAAATTTTGTTTGTTTTTTTTTGTGGAATTTTTAGGTAAAAAGCCATTCATACTCATTGTCATCATAATAAACGATTAATTATTTTGTTAAGAATATATATTTTTTAATTGTGTGTAAAAGAAAAAAACAAGTTAATCAAGTATAAGAAAAGAAACATTCAATTATGTATTGTAAACTCATGAATGGTTAATATTACGAACGACTTTTTATTTTGTACAATTTTCAATAGTTGATGTTTTTATTTTTAATGGTTTTTCATTGTTACACTAAAAATCTTCATTCGTTGTTCAGCATCTTGTTCAAGGTGGAGTTTGCTCTCCAAAATTCGTTAAATCAAAAAATTTGTTTTTGGAAAGACACAAAAAAATATTTGCGATAAGACATTTTGTCCATGTTTATTTTTTTCCTTTTTGGGCTTAGTTAAAGTTGGATTTAGAAATGTTTCGAATGCTACGTAACATCTAGATGAGGTTAATGTATTGGGCAGCTCTACTGAATATTTAGATGGGTGTTAATTGTGTAACATTATTTATATACAAACCTGGTTAATTGGGTTTCATTTTCAATATTACTTTTGTATTTTATTTAGCTATACTTAGATTCAGGTACAAAATGTGACTATCGCAAATATTTGTCGCAAATAATTAGGAAATACGGCACACATAATTAAAAAAAGAATCAAATAGCGGCAAAAATAAAAGAAATACATATAGAATAGATAGTGGGCAAATTTCAAATATATAGTATATAATGAGAAAAAAACATTAAAGAAAAAATTAGTTTAAATTTTGGGATAGGATATACATTTTAATTGAATTTTTTAGGTACCTTAGGATTTTGAACGAGTTTTACAAAATCATTGAGTTGATGAAATTGTTTTTTTTTTTTTTTGATTATTGTTGTGGCGATTTGATAGATTTTGATTGATTTAATTTACTTCTTGTTTTGTTGTTGTTGTTATTGGTTTTGATTTCGATTTTTAAATACATAAGTATGTATATGCAGTCGAATTTAGAAATGACTTTGGCGAAGAGTTTGCGCTTTTAATTGAGATAACAAACGAACGAGCGAACGGGCGAACGAACGAATGAACGATTTTCTTTTTCTTTGGTTTCAGTTTGTTTATATACATTATAGATTATATATATTATTCTTTATTAGATATTTAGTTATTAGTCTGTCATATTGTACAATGTGCTGTAGGATTGTGATCTGATCTGATGTGAAGTGATGTGATGTGATGTGATGAGAAATGCAACGATTGGCTCTCCTGTGAGGGCAGTGACTAGTGCCTGTTGCTTGATCTTAGCAAGTATCAAGACTCAAATGCAAATACTAAAATCTATATACATATATATTTCTATACATATGTATTTATGACCCCCTTCCCAGCTAACCCGATAGACTAATCCGACTAGACCTTACGCCAGCTGCTAACAGAGCGTTCCCTTGACTGTTGCCTAAAGCACTCGGGACTTTTGCTGCCGCGACCGCTGAGGATTTCGGGTGATTCGGTGACCCGTGCCAAGTCTCGATTGATTGTCTTAGAGCTGAGCACACGGGGGCAGCGCACCGTCCAGGGGCTACGGCGGGGATCCTGTAGCGCTCGGAAAGCCTTCGAGGGCACAATCTCCTCGCCACCGCTCGCCTCCGTCCAGCTGTTATAGTAATCTGTATATTCCTTGTCCTGCTTGGGTGTTATAGCGGGCGTACTGTCCAGCGAACTGTTCTCCACGGAGTCCATTTCCTCAACTAGGGCACGCTTTGCAGCCGCCTGGAGACGTTCCATGGGCAGCTGGCGCAGATGCATGCTGTCGCTCTTGAGCAGCAGACTCTGGACTAGCTCGTTTACCAGTTTATCGCTAACCACACGCTGTTTGCTTGGCGATGGCCCAACAATGGGCGAGGCGGGACTGTTCGGCGTGGAAGGATTGTCCGCATCGATGCTTGTATTCTTGCGCAGAGGCAATGAGAGACGTTCGCGTCGCTGTGTCATTGTCTCAGCCTCGCTAAGCGCATTCGGATTTTGGCGTCGTGTGATGGATACATTGTGAACAATCTTGCGTCTGCTCGGCTTGAACTGTAATTCGTCCGCCTGTCCAGCTTCAGACGCTTCGGGCAGATCGTTTTCGTCCTGCAGCAGCTTAAAGAGTCTGGAATGTGTCGCGGCGCGCTGGTAACTCGTCATTTTGCGCAGCTCCGGGAAGCTTTCGGATTCGGTGTCCGTTTCAGACAGCTGTCGATTCATATCCGTCACGCCTGAGTCATCCTCCTCGATCTCGGACTCAGAACGCTGCGTGCTGCTATTGCGGGACAGCTGTCCCTTGCCACGACCACTGTCCACGGACAAGGATTGAATGGTCATGGCCTTGTTGGACGTTGGCGTTGGAGGCGTTGCCTCAAATACATTGATGCGATCGCGCACCGTAATTTTGGGTTCGTCGGGCTTTGTCACACCAAGATCGGGCAGGCCATTACTAAGCAATTTTTTTTGATATTTTGATTCCGTTTTGGGTTCCGGTAGGGATTCAGGTTCTGGTTCTGGTTCTGGTTCCACGTAAACCTCTGGCAGTTGGTTAGTTGGTGTGGTCGCACCCCGTTCCTCGTCTTCTGTGTGCGCAATTGGCATTGTATATTGCTCCATTACGACACCATCTTCGCCCACAATTTCGTATGCACCGGGCGCACCTAGATTGAGTTCGGTGGGCTCCTCGGATTCTAGAATGACACTGCTTCGATTAGGTTGCGCCTTCTGTTGCACTTTCTGCTCATCAATCGAGGTACTGAAGAAGGCCATAGCTTGACGATAGTTCTGACGTTTCTGCTCAGCCTCTTCCAACTGGTCGGTCTTTGCACGTTCCTCTTCGATGTCCGCCCAGAAGTCTGGCTCGTCGTTGTCCTGCGGCGCTTCGGCGTTATACGAATAGGGCATCCAAGTATGTACAGTAGCTGGCTCATGCATGGAGGCCAGCGACATAGTGTCAACCATGTTGAGATTGGTATGGGGAGCTTCCTGTGTTGGTTGCTCGATTTGTTTCGGTGAGTCCAACTTATCTTTGCTGTCATGTTCCAGCTCGTCGTATTGGACGGCCAGCATTTGCTCCTCTTCAGCAGCTGGATCAACGATCACTGGCTCCTCTCCACGAGCTCCCTCTAGTGTTGCCCACACATCGATTTCCACGGCTGGTTCGTCGGGCAGCTTGGCACGAAATGCTTTTGTTTCCACTGGTTTGTAGGGTGGTTCTTCCACCGAGTTCTGGCGCTCTTTGCGAGCCCAGAAGGTTGCTGATTTATGGAAAGTAACATCCTCATCATCGGACTTACGATTCGCTTCGATTTCCGTCCAAAAGTCAATTTCTTCATCGGTGTCTACCTCGCGCGGCTCTTCAGGATACTTTGTAGGATCAAATTGAATATTGTTTATTTTTCGATCATTGACATCTTCTTTAGATTTTATATTGGCCCAGAAATCTATTTCCTCTTCTTCCTCTTCTTCTTCCTCTTCCTCTTGCTCTTCTTCTTCCTCTTCTTCTTCCACTTCCTCTGCTTTTTCTTGGCTAATTTGCTCTATTGTAGTTTCGACCGAGTTTTCTAGCTGAGCACCCGCAGCTTGATCTGCCCAAAAGTCAACATTTTCTGTGGATGGGTTCGCTTGAGCATTGGACTTGTTCATATTCTTCTCGGAATTCGCTTTGTCTACTGATGCCCAGAAGTCCTCCTCCGGCTCAGACGCTTCTTTGATCTCTGGCAATTCTTCAACCACGAAATGCACCTCGGCACACTGTGATTGGGGCATGAATTCTACTTTGGCGTTTAGGGTAGTCGTCCAATGCTCCACCTTGGTCACCGTCTCTTTTTGTAGTGGGGTATACGTAACAGTCTTTTGTTTTTTTACCCATTGATTTTCCTCTTTATTATTTTCAACGCTTGTCCAGAAGTCGATTTCTTCCGCTGGCTGCTCTGGCTCACGAATCGGTTCAGGCTCCTTGGCAGCAGTTGCAAATGTTGACCAAAAGCTGTTCTTGGCCGCCTCCAAAGAGGCCTGAGTCTTGGTTAAGTCACATGATTTAGGTCTGGACGATTGGACCTGCTCACTGCTTTGCTTCACCCGTAGCTGTACGTTTTCCTTTTCCGGGGGTTCCTTCACCTGTGCATCTGCGTTTGCCTCTGTCGTTTTCCAGTAGTTCTTAGATTGCTCCATCATTTTCTGCGCTTGCATTTTGGTAGCCAAGAGCGTGGCAAAGAAATCAAATTCCTCTTTAGGTGCTTCAGCTTCCTCCGTGGGCTCCAATTTCGCTATGTTATTTGTTAGCTCTCCAGCTTGGGTCTCCGCTAAAAACTTGTTGCGGCTGCCCAGCGAGATGGAGGCAGATACATCTTCATTGCTCAGCTTGCGAGCACTCGTGAGTATTTTGTCCGGGTTGCAGCTGTATTGGTGCTCCAAGGACTTGTCGACGGAATTGGAACGTGATGAGCTGGACAAGCTTATGGTGACACTAACTTCGCAATCGTTGTCCTCCTCGTTATCGCTCTCTAACTTGGCAATGCTAAAGGAATTGCGTTTGCTCTCCAAGCTCTGACGCCTCTCCTCAATCTGCGTGGTGCTGCCCACCTCCAAGGTGGCTATGTTTTCGTCATTCGAACTGCGACTGAAGGAGAAGCGCAATGGCAAACGCACAGTCACCGAACTGGACTCATCATCGTCGTCATTTGCATTTGCATTTGCTTCGTCCTTATCATTGTCCTCGATTTGTTGCTCCAAATCGTCCTCTTGACGATCTCCTATAGTAGCATTGCTAGCACTGGATCCATTTCGATTAACTACCGTCCTGGCATAGTTGCTGCTGCGTTCTAGTTCGCTTTCCTCCTCGTAAATGGTGCTCAGATCCTCCTCGACGACATAGTCTTCGTCAAGTTCCTCAATCACACACTCCTGCTCTTCCTCTACTTGCTCCTCCTCGTCGACCATTTCATCAGCCGTCGTCACATCCTCATCCTCACTCTCGGACTCCAGCTGCTGAACGGGCATTTTACCCAATCCCTTGTAGACCTGTATATTAGTGACCGACTTGATGGCCTGTAGCGGCGCGTGCTTGGGGGTGTCGCTATCTTCTTCGTCCTCATCCTCATCCTCATCGCTGCTATCCTCCGTGTCACTGTCATTATCGTCCAGCATAACTGTAATCTGAACCAGCGAAGCATTCTCGCTAGGCGAGCATGCGCCCAACTCCTTGAGCTGCTCGCCCGCATAGTCCTTCTGGAGCTGCTTCGATAAGTTGGCTTGAGTATTGCCACCGGCAATTTTATTGATGTTAGCCAGACGCTGGCTAAGCAGATCGATGACCTGCTCATTGTTGTTGCAGATGTTGCGAGTCTTTGGCCGGCTTACCAGTTCCTCAATTTCAACAGAGTGCGCACGCTTGGGCGGCTCACGTGGCTCCACCTTGATGTGGTGCTGCATTATGACCTTCGAGGGCGTATCGTCAGTGCTGGGGGTTATAATAATATCGGGCAATACACTACTAGCGCGACTTTCAGTTGAGCTTTGGCTAAAACTTGGCGCTACCGGATAGGGGTAGGGGCCATAGGGCGGCACAAACTGTGCGAGCTGTGGATCACTGGGCATGCCTGGCTGGCCATAGACTGGCGGCGGGGGTAGATAGTAAGGATAGTAATATGGATAGGCTTGATTCACGTCTGGCTGCTTGCCATCTACCGATGATGGCATAGGCGGTGGTGGATAGGGATAGGGGTAGGGCCAGTTGAAGACTTGAGGTGGTTCCCCATTTGCTTGCCCTGGGACCTGGTGGGGTGGCGGTGGCATATACCAAGGGAAGGGATAACCATAAGCATAGGGATATTGCGGAGGCACGGATTGCGAGCGCTCCGGTTGCTTAGCTGCTGAATACGAACTATCTGAATTAAGGGATGAGTTGGATGAATATGCGCCATGAGAAATGCTTGTGTTTGTGTCTGTGCTGGGTGGTGGAGTGGGTGTGGCAGATGTATAACTGTGACGTTTATTGATTTTATTGTTAATTTCTCGGTTATGGTTACTTTTACTGACATTATCATTATTCTCATTATTATGATTAATATTATTATTATTATTATTATTATTATTATTATTATTATTATTATTATTTTTGGCTTCGTTCAATTCAATATTTTCCAAATCCGAGTCCAGCTCGGTGTGAATTTTATGTTCTGAGGTCGGTTTGGTGCACGGTTATCAAAAATAAATAAAAAAAAAAGAAAGAAGAAAAGATATAGACACGGTGAGAGTGCATATTATGATCAATACACCAACAATTTGGACTGTGAATGTTACATAGATTAAACGATCGAGCAAAGCTTCTAATTATGTACAAGTTTCAGTAATCGCTTATGGCTGTGTGTGCTTATGACAGGTGTACATAAAGCTCAGATATGAAACACTGAATGGGTCGGTGTCAGATGTTCATATGATGGATATGTTCGGATTGGTGATTCAGACTGGAATTCAACATGCTTCAAGCCTTCAATACCTTCCCAAGTGAAGGATCCAACAACTTGTATAGTTAAGAGTCGATGCAAACAAAATGATTTTCAAGAAAGGTGAAATCTCTCAATAGATAGAATGCAATCAAGAACACTGTGAAAAATAACATGATGCAAGGTATACGTATAAATGTGAATATACATACGTGTACTCAATGTGCGTGTGTGCGTGTGTGTGTGTGTGTGTGCGTTTGTTAGTGAATGGCTAAAATGGCATATATACAGGTTGGTCTAGCCTTGAGGCTAAATGTTGATTGTTGATCATGTGTGTGCGTGTGTGTGAAATACAATAGAAAAGAAAACATGTAGCCCCCATTTCTCGCAGTGTATAACTGTGTGAAGTACTTACCGGCGTTCTCTGGTGTTGTCATTGCCTGTAAAATCTTAAAAGATCGACTTGGTATTGCGCTTCCCGTATATTTTTTCGGTTCCGGCACCTGTTGCTCACTGGGCGGCACATATTGCTGTTGTTGGGGTGTATCTAAAGGGGCGGAATAGAGCTTTAATAAGGTCACGTCCACAGACTTTTCCCACCTACCGTATAGAGAACGCTGTGGTGTAAAGCGGTTCTGTGTGGTTGGGCCGTTACCTGAAATCAAATAAAACCAGTTCGCATCGCTTTAGTCTACGGCTTAGTGGTATTTTCTCGTCTGTTTCGACTTTGTAACCAATCAATTCAGTTTAGTAGTGCTGGCAATTTTGATTCGAACTCTAAGGCATTACCATATGTTCATGGTGGACTACACAGGAAGCGTATTAGTTTCTTTTGTTCCGAATGGTTTTGTTGTGGCTTAAAGCGTTGAATTAGTAAAATTAACCAGTTTAGGGTTAGACTGAGACTAAGGCCAAGACCCAGCCCAATGGACACCGAATCGACGAAACCTTACAACTCTCTCTCGCGCCGGTCTAAGCGGCCAACCTTACCCGTCCGGCTTGCTGTGGAAATGGGACGATAGAGCTCACCTTGCGGGGACCAGGCTTGCGGTATACCCGACTGCTGATCCTGTGCGATTTGCAGGCGTCTCATTTGCTCAATAGTCGGACTATTGCGCGCCTGCTGGGCGCTCATCTGGCGAGCGAATTGTGGCCGCTGCAGCTGCGGCGTCTCCACATCCACGTGTGGCTGTTGCACTGGCCGAGACTCGGCGTTGCCATCGTCCACCGTATCGGTTATCTTTTGCAATATTCTAAACGATTTCGATTGTATGGGCGGTGAGCGTGGATCGCTGCAAGTAGATATAGGCGTATGTTAGGTTATGTTGTTGGTTAGCATGCACTCGATATTAAATGTCTGAAAACCAAATTACATCATTTCTATGGATTGTGGAAGCGTGGGGTTAGCTATGGCAAGTGATTTGACCGGAAGATAATGGCATCCGAGATCGAGAATTTTGTAAGATCACTCAGATACTGAAAGATGAGCTCATGACGAGGACAATGACTGGCAAATTACAAATGAATTATGCTATGCAAATAAAAGAGACGCGCACACAACATTTAAGAACAGAACCAACAGGATCTGGAGCAGAGCGATGCTACTCCAAGTCCCATTTGACAGCACTAACAGTTATATAGCTTGGTTATCGGGCTGCGACGACGACGACGACGACGTCGATTGTGACCGTGACTGTGACTGTACTACCTGAGTCGATTCTTTCTGTAGTTTATCTCAGCCTCGAGCGGACATTGATGCACAAACAAATTGTAATTGCCACTGAAAGTCGGTAAGTCGGTAAGTCGTTAGGTTTTGTAAAGAAGCACAAAATTTATATGCATTAGTGCTGGGTAGTGGTGCATTACTAGTTGTTTATAGTGTTGGTCAAGCACACAAAATTTAGTATTGTAAATATGGCTTTGGCCTACACTTACTTTTGTAGCACGACTGGTGACTGAGACACTGGACCACCGCGACCTCCTTCAATGGCAATGGGTATGATCCGTGTTGAATTGTTGCTGTTGTTGCTGTTGTTGCTGTTGCTGTGATTAGAGACAACAAAGTGTTGCTGCTGCTGCTGCTGCTGCTGTAGGGTGGGCGACACTCCAGATGCTGGATAGTTGTTGTAACCTTGATCGACAAATTGATTAGCTGAGCGTATTATGTGGCCAGCAGGCGCTTTCGTAGGAAAGAAAGAGTATACATAGACACATATTGATATCGAGATGGAAAGTTACACAGTGGGACACTAGATTGGAGCATTCGGGTACAATCGTGGAGAGTGCAAGGGTTCGCATTCGGGGTAGAAGGGGAGCACTACAGGGCACAGGGCTTGTTTAGTGACGAACATTTAGAGTGTTTAGGAAAGCGCCAGACAGGGTATTAGAAAAACACATAAAACACACACACAAACACTAGGCTAGAATTACAGCCTTTAAGACTTACCACCGAAGTTGGGCTGGGCGGCGGCATATGTTGGTGTTTGCTCCAGTGTAATGGGTATTATGCGCTCCTGCAAATAGTGCAATTAGCAGTTATAGATGTGTTAGATACCCTGTAATTAGGGGAGTTACCCTGGGACCACTCTGGTTGGCATTGCTGTTGTTGATCTGCAATCGCAAGCCGCTCTGCGGAGCTGTTGACCCAAAGTTCTGCTGGGCTGCAGGACCGGGAGACGAGGCTGTTTCATAGCCATTGCCCTGCATCTGCATCTGCATCTGGGGCTGATAGAACGTGCTTGTGGGCTGTGATTGCGTTGGCGCCGACGGCGATGCTGTCTGTCGCAGCGACGAGGGCATCACATTGCCATTCTCCTCGGGACGTGCCCAGGGCGCCTGCTCCTTGGCCGCAGGCTGCGAGCTAAGCCAGCGCAGTGGCTGGCCACCCACCTGTTGCGGCGCTGATTGTGGCTGCGGCTGCTGCTGCTGCGGCACTTGTCGCATGGGCGAATCACGAGCGCCCGACAACTGTTGCTGCTGCTGCTGCAGCAAAAGACGCTGGGCCTGAGGCTCTGTGGGCTGTGCCAGCGGAGCAATGTAAAGTGAGCCAACGTTGGTCTGTCAAAATGAAAATAAAGTAAAGTTTTAGTTAAGAAGTAGCTAATATAAGTCTTTATAACTGTCTATAAAATATATTCAATCTACTGCCTACAGATTTCGTATATAAATAAACAATATAAGACTTCTAGCCAGGCAAGCCTATGCCTAGTCTTAACTATACTACTGCATGCTAAGGTATGCTTAAATATGAGCTCGAAGTAATGTCTTTTGATACCCTGTACTTGCTTAGACCAGGGCATACTAGCTACAAACTTATGTAACAGTTGTGATTGTTTGTTCTTTAATAACAATTTGACTTTAGAGAAAAGGGTATAAACTAGTCGGATATATCCAAAAAAGAATAAATAAGATATCTACCTCTCGCCTTCTCTCTGTATTCCGCAAATGTTTCAAAATTAGATTTTCCTAAGATATAATTTCTTGATTTATATTTATATATATATATTTGCTTGATTTCTGTTCTCTCTGGCATATAGATGCTCAGTTTTTTAATGCAGAAATAGCTGAGTATATATATATTTCTTGCTTTGCTTGAACAATATAGTGAAAAATGAGTTTAGGGTATAAACTATGCAATGCAAAGTATTCTTATCATAGACCTCTGAACTGACTCTACTTCCAAGGACGCCATTCATTATGTAAATATATATATAAATATATATACATGAAGTCCTTGTAGTTTTGAAGAAATTAACTTTTATGCAAGTAGCTAATGATTCGAATCGTGTGGGCTTACTTGCTATGGCAATGCGTTTGCCTCAAGTTCAAAATTCGTGTTTGGCCTTTGGCAATATTTAATTTTAGATGCTGCATTTACGAATGGCGTTCAATGTACAATTCGCAGAGCGAATCTGTGGCTGTTGATGATTATTTAAAAATAAAACCGAATGCTTCCGTGAATGCGCTAGAACAAATCACATCCATTCAAATGCAGTCCATTTAGCATGAATTTGTTGTAAATTATATTACTCATACGCCCCGAAAATGAATTGCTCAATATTTAATAGAGTGAGTCAGCGTCTGGAAAGGTCAAAGTATTATGGGCATGGCAGAAGTGTTAACTACTCACCGGCTTAACACCTTGATATGGTGTCTGCTGTTGCTGTTGCTGCTGTGCATTGAAAGCTGCTGCTGCTGGCTCGACTCTGGCGGGGCTGAAGACATCGCGAGTTCTTTGCTGCTGTTGCACGTTGTTGTAAATGGGCTGTGAATGCGTTGGCTGCTGTTGCGGTTGTTGTTGTTGTTGTTGTGCAACGGGCTGGGCGCGTTGCGTACGCCAAGGCACAGTTTGAGCTGCCTGCTGCTGCTGTGGCTGAGCCAGCGGCGAGATGGCTGGCGATGGACGTGGCTGCTGCTGCTGTTGCTGTTGAGCCAGCGGAGAAATGGCCGTTGGTGAACGCGGCTGCTGTTGCTGTTGCTGCTGTGCAAAGCGAAAGGGACTCTCCGTGGCACGTTGCTGTTGCTGCTGCTGCTGCTGCTCGAAGGGCGACCGCGGACTCTCTGTTTGCCGCGTGTACACATTAACAGCCGGCGACTGTGGCATGGGCACACTGCGGAACTCCTGACGCTGCTGTTGAGGCGGTGTTGCCGGCGGCGACGGTTGTTGCAACTGTTGCTGCAGTGGCGGTGTTTTGGGTGACGGTTGCTGTTGCTGCTGCTGCTGTGTTGTTGGTGTGTAAGGACTATAGCTGTTGCTGTTGCCATTGCCATTGCCGTTGCTGTTGCTGTAGTTGCCATTGCTGTAGTTGTTGCCAGCTGGCTTGAAGGCTGCGGGAATAGAGAAGCAGAGATTAGACTTGCTGCAGATGAACTCTGAGAAGTGATTTAGTTTTTAGTGCCGTTAGTGGGGAAATGCCAATAAGAGATGCCGTTTTATGTCTGGGATTAGTCAAATGTGGGTTTTAAAGCACCAGATACCGCTTAGTAATTAGCCGGCGAGCGACATGAGGCGAGCCGCGGGCCAAGAACTGTACCAAGAGAACTTTGGCCCACTCGATAGTGGAGTTAGAGTGTACCCAAAACCAAAACCAAAACCAAAAGCCAGCGAAATGATGCGATATCCGAGTTTCTCCCTTTCTCTTTCTCTCACTCTGCTCACCATCAACGGCGTCTTGGCTGTTGTTGTTGTTGCTGCTGTTGTAGACAGCATTGCCGTTTTGAGCTGGCTCCGGCAGTGGGCTCTTGGAGCGCTCCTTGCAATACTCATCCTTCCAGAAGGTGTTCTTCTCCACAGGTGGCGGCACCTTGCGCAGCGCTGCCATCGGATTGGTCGGTATTTTGATCTCTGGACGGAAGCCCAGCGGTGGCGGCTCAAAACGTTGCGGCGTTGGTGATTTGCGCGCCGCTGCCGGCGAGCCGGGAGCACTGCCCCGGCCCGTTGGTGGTGCTAATGTGCTTTGTTGTGGGGGTGGCGGTGGGGGTGCAGCTTGGTTACCGTTCTTACCCGTCTGTAACTGCGGCTGCGGCTGCGGCGGTGGTGGCGGTGGCAACACCTGAAACGGCATGCCCATTGCCGCGGCACCCATCGAACTGGCTGCGCTGCCAGCTGTGCCACCCGGCGACGATTGAGGCGATGGTCTGTTCTGTTGAGAAGCGCCCGTGGCACCCTCGGCCTGAGCATTGCGCGCCAAACGCTTGGCCATGCGCTCCGATCGAATTTGGGAGAGATCTATGCCGCCAGGCGTGTAGGTGAAGGGCTTCTTGTCTTTTGTCATCATAGCGTTTTGCACACAGGCGGGCGCCTCATAGCCGCCGCCTCCAGCGGCGCCTCCGCCGCGCTGTCCATACCTGTGAAGCGAGAGAAAGAGAAGAGAAAGAAACACTCATTAGCATTTTGCGATTGTTTTTGGTCACCGAACGGTTTCATTTTCATGTAAATTTCGTGACTCTTGTTAAGTATCTTGATTTGCTTTATACGCCTCTTCGTTTTCTGGCTATTTATCATATATTTGGCTTAATCTTTTGTTATTAACTGTTTCATTTTGAAGCTCCATGCCAAAGAGCCCCCATTTGTCTGACCACACTTCAAGATCTTTCTTTTTTTGCATTTTGTGTATTTCAAGCTGCTTGACTAATGACTCGCCCATCGACAGTTCAATGAGCCAATTTTTCCTTAGCAATTTGATTTTTTTTTTTTTTCATTTTATATATATTTTTGTCGCTGTTGAAGAGCGGGGGAAAGTGAGCTGAAGATGCTGCCAATGGCATTTGTAGCCACTTATTAGTCGAAGTGCTGCGCCTAGGGCCATAACGGCCAGCTGTTGAAAGTGAGAGCTTGAAAGATGGATGAATCTCGAGCAAAAAGGCAATTAAGAAAATTATTAAAAAAAAAACATAAAAAGTAAAACTGCCCCAAAGAACACTTATTATACTCATTTATACTCATTTGTGTTTTCATCTCTACAAACTAAGTACATATATTTGTGTGTGGGGGCAGCAGCTATTAGACTAACATTAAGAAAAATGAAAACAATCATAATAAATCATTGGATCTTTTATTTATATATACATGTAAAGCAAATAGCTAGACAAAGAAGGCAAGACAAATATTGCTAGCTATTTTCTTATTAACTTAGAAGTGCTTTCGCAACTTTTCCTATGTCGCTCTCTCTCACTCTCTCTCTCTTGAAATAGAGCCGTTAAGTAGCCAGTAAGCGCTTACTTCTACTTCACATTCTACTTCCAATTACCCTTTCCTAAATAGTATACTTCAACTATTTGTCAATGTTGATACAGCAGTCAATTACACTTCAAATAATCACATTCTGTCAATGTGAAAGAAAATTCAAACTTGAAAGTTACTTAAGGCAATGTTGTTTTTTTATATTACTTTAAAAGTATAATATATATAAATAATACAACGTAGTTAAAAAATAGAAACTATTCACCTAACCATCATTTGGCGGTAGTCATATGTGCTGCATTACACATATTTGAGCGAATGTGTATTTGTATGCGTGTTTGCTTAAAATTGGAATGCTTACTAATATGAAGGTTGTTACGAAATAAATCTGCGCATGACGTCATCGTAATAATTGGCGTACTCAATTTTCTATATACGATAAAAAACCCAACAGAAAATATAACGTCACAGGGTCTGTGGCGGACGCACTCAATTGCGAACCTTTATTGCAAGCAAATATTCCAATTGCTTTTGCAGTTATAATAACTGTCTCTTCTCTTTTGCAGGTCTTAAGTTCAAAGCGAAAGACGAATTGAGACATTTGCAATAATTCTCACTCTCTCTCTTACTTCTTTTATAACGGAGTTCTCTTTGCGAGAGGCTTGCGATCTCCCTGTTGTGTATGTGCCATGCATGTATAGAAATGCTACACACACACTTGTGCATTTAAATATATGCATATGCGCATTAATATTTTATTAATATTAAAAATTAAAATGAGATAATTTATAAAAATTGTTATTTTTTTCTAAATTTGTATATGTTTGCTACGATTTGTTATAAACAGTGCTAACTCTTAAGCAGTTGAACTTTATATAAGATTAATAAGCTGCATGTTAAGTAACAGAGCGCTGTATTTGAACAGTGTAATACATTTTAACAGAAGTCTATGTTAAATCCTAACTAACAGTTGATTTTTATTGAAATTGTTTCAAAGCAGCAATACCTCAATAATAAAATATTGAGTGCAGAAATTTTTTATTAAATAAAATATAATTAAGTATATATTAAAGAAAAATTCAATAAAAATACATTTCTTAATTCTTCAATATGAAATTCTCATAAATTTAATGACAAAACTATGGATGCTTTACATATAAGTTTACAATAAGTTTATTTTTGAATCAGCTATACATATGTATGTATATTCATATACATTCATTGATAGCTAGCCCATATATTGCACGAAGTTCAGTTAGGAGGAAATGCGCACTGCATTGCACAACAATTCGAATCTGGCAGCTTTCTAGGCTTGTCAGGCTTTAATAATAATACTCATAAATGCGCTGCTCCCCCTTAAATGGCCAGGTCTACAAGCATATTGACAAGCAAAAGCAGTTAACAGTTTAGTCAAGCTGCGCAAAATGAATTTCCTAGCTAGCCATAAACGCCAGGTGCAATGGACGTGAGTGGGGAAAAATAGTCAAGCAAACAACGACCTGAACGACCTTACAATTTTGGCCTAGCCTGCAAAATGATGGAGCGTTAAACTTCGGCTAAGCTAAACAACTAGCTAACAACTGAACAAAGACTAATCAATGGCAAGTTCAAGTTTTTGATGTCTTCCACTTGCTTCACATAGCTCACCATAATTTCAGATGAATTTATATGGTCATTCCGCATATCACAGATGACATTTCTGCAATACTCAATACAAATACAGCTATTAGCCATGTGTGTGTGCATCGCCTCGTATGGACTCAATTAGCGCCGACTTTGTTTGTCATCGACCGCAAGCAGTTACGTCACAATACGACTGAGACTTGGATTTGCATTTGACATTGATGCACTCGCTCCAATTTGTATGTAAAGCGGATTGCGGATTGCGGATTGTGGGATTGTGGGATTGCCGCACTCGTGAGTTGTGGGTGCTTGGCTTTTGCAATTTGCTGTCTGTGTGTGGTTTGCCTTCGCATTTGCGGTTTGAGTGCTCGGAACGGGCACATGGAAAAGTGCTGGCAACACTTTTGCTATGGCTACCACAAGCAAACACTTGGAACTTGGCACTTGGCACTTGGCTCTTGGACAGCGCAACACCTGTTCCTGTTCGCCTGACCCACTTAGCCAAACTGTTAAAAGCGAATCATTCACGCACCGTTCATGCGTATTCTATGCCATGCTCTGACTGTATGTATCTTGCTGTATGTGCACATAAAAACTAATGAAGCTGACAGGCGACAGGCGAACAGACCAGCAGACCAGCAGACCAGTGGACCAACAAGCCAACAAGCCAACCAGCCAACTGGCCAACTGGCCAACAGGCCCGACAACTTTTCAGAACCCCAATACCAGCCAGCGAGAGAGATGCACTCGCCTGGCCAACAAAGCAGCTGCCCATCACTTTCTTTTGGCCACAACTGGCTGGCTGCCTGGCTGGCCATGTGATGCTTTCTGGGCCTATGCTAACTACAGCCGACGACAACGTCTTTAGCATTCGGTTTTAATTAGCAAAATGTCAACATTAAGCGCGTCTAAATTAAGTAAATTATGCGCAGAAAAGTCGAAAACAAATAACTAGGCGAAATCTTAGTATTTATGCTGCAAATCGAAAAGTAAATATTTTCAAAAATCCTGCTTAAAATACTCAATTCAAATAAAACTTTAACTTTACAGCGCTTAAAATGAAAGTTTTCAAGTTTTGGAAAATGTGAAAAGATTTTCTTTCAATTGAGGCAGTTAAAATTCTTTCAAGAGATGTATTAGTTAGTTCTAGATAAATAACAGTTTATACAGCTTATGGCCTAGAAGAGTGTATATTTCAAAATTCAACTCTCGAGCGCTTCTAGTTGTCAAAATTGATGAGTTTTTACAGACGGATGTCGACTCGACTTTCAGCTCGGTTCCAGAACGGAAGCGTCTACGTTAGTTTGTCTGATAGATTACACTCTTAGACTATTTCTATGAGTTTAAAATAATTTAAAGAAAGCAGCTTGCAAGTTAATAGCTTTGGTTGTCCTTCCATAGAGTTGACGTCATAGTCTGCTATTTTATTTTACTTTATTTTTCGACTCGCACGTGTGTTAAACAAATCGAGACAAGTCAATTCTTAAAAGAAAATAAAAAACTTTGTTTTCGGTTCCTCGGCACTAGATGTGAAAATATTGAGAACAAAGATCGGACGACAGCGCCGTCTGATGACGTCAATCTGTCAGGAAAATGGACCAAAGAGCTGAAGCCACTAAGTTCTAGACAAGTTCAGGAAAGCAACTAGATCAGCAGCTGATTTTGACAGCGTCGGCAATTAAGATGTCAGCCTGGCAGCAGCCCCAGGCAGAGTCAACAAAGTGCAAAGTCAGTGTGGAATGGACCCAAACAAATAATAAGCTGCACGTTTCATATAATCTACTTGAAACATTTGCATATGAATCACTGAACCATTTCTGTGACATTTGCAATTTGCATTTGTTTAAAATAGAAGCTGTTATACAGATATATATATATAGATATATAATATGTATGTATATATAGGAGGTGAGAAATATAGCCCAAAAATAATACCGCATGGCATTTGGCACTTGGCATGCAGCGGCCGTTAGCAGCTGGCAAAAATAGCTGAAAGCCAAATGCAAAACGTAAAAAAGAAGAAAATTATAGAAAAACATCTGTAGAATTTACATTTTCACTTTTTGCTCGCATGCAAATGAGCGTGAAAAAATGTACGATCCAAAAAGAAAAAAGAAAAATGAAACAAAAACTGGATCTGTGGGATCAGCTCCAGTGGCAGTGGCCAGTTCTGTGCATATTTCAAGATCAAGGGCAACCAACACACACACACACACTCACACAGAGACAGACAGACACAACTTGAAAGCTGCCACATGCAACATGACATAATGATAGTCATTGTCCGCCTGCCAGCCAGCCAGCCAGCCAGCGACTGGGTCTATAAATAGAGTTAGAGCGCTACAGGGTGCCTCGAGTGAGTTGCACATTCCACGCAGCTAATCTCGCCTCGACAACAAAATATTTACATAGAAATTGTTTCAGTTTTTTGCGCACTTAAACCAAAAAAAAAAACAAAAAGAGAAATTCTTATCTCGCTCCTCTGTCATAAATTGCTGTAGATTCAGTGCAGCCTCCTGCTAGGCCCCGTGATAGCCTACTTACGTGTCCAGGCAGCTTTTGTCGGGGCCACTCTCTTGAAGCTGCGGCAGTTCCAGCTGAAATCCCCGATCCTCGCGCACCATATAGGCGGGCAGCGTCTCGATAATGGCATTGGCCTTATCGTTATACGAGCCCAGCAGCTCCCGATACTTGGAGTAGACGACGCGTTTCAGTTGCGGGTTCTTGATCGCAGCTGGACTCGTAGAGGCAGTGGCACTTAGCGTGGAGGTGGCCATTGTCTTGATTTGTTTCTAATTTAAATTATTATTATGATAATGCTTGTGGGAGAACAGTCTCAGACACTTTGCATAGCTCGCTGGGCTCTGTACGAATGCATCAAACAGCGATGTCAATCAAACAATACTTTTCCTTAATGATTTCTTAACGTCTTGACTAACGAATGAAGTTTGAGCAGAGAAGATAGTAAAGAATAGTTAAGCATAGATCGGCGAATCGGATATATTTAGTTATATACTATATACGGCATTTACTTTTGATATATGTGAATTCCGTGTATTCTGTTGCCTAGAGATTAACTGTCAGATATAGTGAAATAATACTTATAATTTTTTGTTTATTGTTTTTTGATTGTGCAACCCATTTACATGCCTAATACCCGTGCAATTATTGACTTTGTCACACAAAGGCGTCGAGGCAAAGCAATAAGTCAGAGACCCAAGCAATGGGCAGGAACTGACTCAGAGACTCGGGCGATCGGTCGATCGGTCGATCGACTGGCACCGATCTAGGCAATAGCAAGACCTTTGCCGCTGCCATACAGAATGATGACTCACAATCATAACAACAACAGCAACATCATTGTGAGCATCTTTATCAACATAAAGCATGCCGGGCAGCTGTTTTGTATCTGAAAGATATATGTGCGCTCAAATTCGCTCACGCTCGACTCATATTATATTTAGTCATGAGCCAAAAGTTCGTCGTCATAAGCAAGCAAAATGATTGTTTGATTGAACATCCGTGAGATACAACAGTTAGAAAGAGCTTACAGCAGTCGTTGTCAATTAACACTCAAATGCTTGGGGCACACACACACACAGCAACACCATTCGATGGTCTTAAGACACTACGCGGCGCAAAAGTATCTACAAGTTTCGATCGGAAGTATCTATAACTGAAGCGCACCGGGCGACTGCACACAGCGAAGTCTCGAAGCAATTTGAAGCCGAGTTCGTTCGACTCGCAACTTCGATGCCGACCTCAGCATCGCCGTCGACGTCGACGTCGACGTCGCCGTCGAGGTTGGCGTTAGCAACTTGTTGCAGATACATTTGTGGTAGAGGCTGTTGTTGTAACTGCTGCCGCAAAAGGAAAACCGAGTGCATGACAAACGTTCGGCTGGCACGCGGCGGCAGCGACGGCTGCTACTGCTGTATCTCCAAGATACAAGTTACATGGCTAGCTGGCTAGCTGGCTAGCTGGCTGACTGCCTGGCTGTGGAGCAATTTATATGTCTGTCAATTCGCTGGCAAGTTGTTGGACAGACGATCGCCGCGACTGGCATTTCAAACGTGGCGACAAATTTAAAGCTAAACGCCAAACGGCAAACAGCAAACGGCAAACGGCAAACGCTTTCGACTTTTGGCGAATATCTTGTCTTTTGTATCTTGTATCTCGGATCTTGTATCTGCGTCTGTTATCGTGCGGCTAATTGTTTACGTTTTGGTAGTCATGTCGTCTGCTTATTACTTTTGTAGCTTTTCATAATTAAAACGACATTTATCTCGGCTACCCAGCTTTTGTTTTTCCCATTTCGTTATCTTCCCACATTCGTGGAAGTTTTTGGGGCGTGTTTTAGCCAAAAACAAAAAGAACGTAGCCCTAAGTGAACGCACAAGCTGCGGAAATATAACATGCCTAGCCTTGAGATACAAATGTATTTGGCGACTGATAGCGCCGTAATTATTATCACTCTGCTCTTCAGCCAAAAACACACTAACTGCTTAGAAAGTACAATAAAAAGATTACAGCGACCTTAAAAATGGATTCGAAAGGGATTCCCATACACAAAAAAACTTGACTTTAGTGTTATTATATTTTCACAATATATATGTTAAATAAGAACTCACAGCTAAACTCGTGCAAGTCTATTAGAAAGTTTATACAACGATTTCGATTCATAACCATTTATTGTCTTGTGTTATATTCTTAAAAAATATAAATATTTAATTTCAGATAAATGTAGATTGCCGAAAAAAAATGCAAACTGAGCTGGCCAAATAAGAGCGAGAGCAAAAGCAAACCAGGATATTAAGATATTTATGTGTTTCATGTGTTTTAAAAAGCTAAAGCCATGTCATATATTATGTTTAAAATTGTACATCAGCTTTACTGCCATTCTATTTCAATTTTAATTTCAATAAAAAACTAAATCAAATTTTATGAGTATTTTTCAAACCGATTTTTAAGCATTTATATCTTAACAATCTCTGTATGTAAAGCCTGCTTTTGTCTATACTGAAGGTATAATCGCGCTTCAGACCTAGCCCTAGTAGATTTATAAATGTTGTCAATGATTTAAATATAGTTATTTAAAAATCTTAATATATATAGATATAAAAGAGTTAATGTCCTAACAACCTTTCTATATTCAAAATTTCAAATAATCGATTTTAAATCATGTTTTAGGGCTGCATCAAATGTCAAAAATCCTTCGATTCTGCTGTCAAATGGACTCAAGTCAAGTTATCAATTTGGCTACAAGAAACCAAAAAATTGAAAGTCATTAACTTTTCACAATTTATGAATATTGAATTTAAAGGCGTCCCATAATTATGGTAAGTTACAATTATGGCAAGCAAACCATTTAGTTGAGTGTCTAATTGTAGAATGCGTTTGCACACTTGGACCTCTTTGACGGCATACCTGCAAAATGTCCTGTGAAAGGCTGTCATTCTCAGTTGACGCCTCAGGAGCTGCTGGCACATTTGCTAATGCGCCATCGGCCCGAGGACTCGATGTTGGAGATTGGCTCCGAGTGGCACACGGTGTACGACCTGGACTTAGCCAAGCTGACGCCTGGCTGCAATCACGTCGTGGGTGTCATTGCGTATGCCGGCTCCAACAATGCCAACCGCAGCCGTCCCATTGGACCGGAGCTGCAGCTCGTCCATCATCTGCCCATAATACTTATGCTCTACGTCAGTCCACCGGCTCCCAATCTGGAGCAGATGTACGTGCTCTATCTGATAAGTCCTGTGGCCTCTCGTAAGGTGAGCGCCCATGTAAGCTTGCTGCATGGCGTGGAGGGACGTGAGGTGCGGGGCTTGCGTTGTCTGCGTAATTTCTTGGACGCGCCGTTGCTGGACAGCGAGGAGCTGCTCCACAGCAACATGGACTACTTGATCTACACGGCAACGGACGTGTGGGAGCACTGCACCACCGGCGATCGCTGCAAGCTTCAGTTCAAGGTGGTGCTGCACGGTGAGCCGAATCTGTTCGAAGTGGAGGATGATCCGCAAGAGGAGGCTCTGTGGCAGGCCACTCAGTGACTCATCGCAGTTGGATGCCAAACAGCTGGCCCACAGCCCCCAAAAAAAAAAACAAAAACTATCGAATCCATTGACGCACTCGTGTGGCCTGAGTGCCTGTCAATAATTCGTTGATGTTGTTGTTGTTGTTATTGAATGGAACGTTGCTCAGCTGTCAGAAAACGGTTTCAACTTATTCATTCAATAATTTCTTGGCCCGCCGAAAAGTGGGTCACACAGCCAGACACCAGATAGATACCAAACACTTCCAACTGCAACACGCCTCTGGACAACTGGCTCAACAATCAATCAACAAAGGCCACCTAATTGAATGGCCATTGATATTGACTGTGGTCGGAGTAAATCTTGTAATTAGGTGAAAATAATTTTTCTCTCTTTCCCAACAGTTTTTCCCCAACAAATTTTGCTACTTATTATTGTACTTGATTCATTTTTAAATTTATAATGAGGTTGAATGAATTCTTGCCAACTTGGTAACTGCAACTGGCACATAAAAATAAATATGTTGTGTAACTCTTCGTAACTTGAAAATAAACAAACATAAAAGAAAACAAATTTTATTATGTACGTAAGAAGAAATCGCTTAGTATTTACCTAAGAGACATACAAAGTTTCTACAGATACTCTGTGATGAACGTCTATATTTCAAACGGGCTGAGTCCAATGGGTAAACTTGAACGTCATTATATAAAATATATCTTTTTTGCTATATATATTTTTGGCAGATAATATTTAATAATCTTTTCAAACTGACATATTAATCGTTGAAAAATATGTAAGATGCTTGTGAGGGGAACATTATATCATTAAAGATTATAAATTGGCAGTTTTTGATGCTTAAGTGAATACATATTTACCAATGTAATGTCCTAAAGTAAATCAATGTATTTTGTCTATGAATAGATACAGAGTAAGCAGCCGTTGTTCTGGATATCTCCCAGTCAGGCACTCCCCACTAGTGATTTCTTAGTTGTTTTACATAATTTTAATATGTAATATTAATTAATAATATTAAAAATTTAATATGTAACAAACATACATACATATGTACATTATACATCATTTTAGTTGAAAGTCTAATGTCAAATCTATAGCTGAGATAAATATAAAGAGTCTCAAATCCAAAATAATTCGTTACTTATATATAAACATAATAAAAGGTTTATTTATATTAAATATATATATATATATATATATATATATATATATATATATATATATATATATATATATATATATATATATATATATATATATAATATCAAATATTCAATAGTTCCAATCACAACTTACATAAATACTAAATACATAAATAAACATTCAATTTTATGACAACTAATTAATTAGCAAAAAAACAAAACAAAAAAATAAAACGAAATTAAAATTTATGCGCCATTTGCCAAAAATACAACAGAAAGAAAAAGCCTTAGGAAAAAGCAAAAAGTGAAAAACTGCGTTGAATGGAAGGCGATAAAAAACTGTTTAAATAGACGCCCCCGCAAGCATTCAGAGCAGGAGAAGGGGAGGAAAACTAATAAAAACAACACGAGCAAATTTTAAGAGTTGAGCTTAGGGCCAATGCCCAGCGCATTGTAATTTGTTATGTGAATCATGTGCGACCTTGAAATGAAATATTCCATTATATATTAAATATAAAAGCAAAACAGTAAAAGACAATTTGAAAATCGGCAATTGAATGCGACGCACAGGAGCCATTCATCATGTGGCATATGGTCGCTTTCTTTGGCTGCGTCGGCCTCTGTGGCGTGGAACCCGTTTTTCATTTGTCATTGGAGCCTGGTCTGGACTCTGCGTTGATTGCATGACACGAGCACATCAGACAGCCCGGTTGCCCGGCTGGAATCATAATTATTTATATTAATCTGTCGGGTCACCAGCGGCGCGACTCAAGTGAAAGTAAACTCTGCGCCCAGCTCCAGCTCCAACTTCGAGTCCAACTTCAACTCCAAGTGCAAGTCCAAGTCCAAGTTGAAGCCGAAGTTGCAGTTGTAAGCCTGTTGCACAATAAAATGCGCTTATATTTCTTCTTCAACTCCGATACGAACGCTTTTTGTGTTTTCAAATAAATTTCCCAACATTGGCCACATGCGGCCGGGGCACGCAAGAGGCGGACAGTCAGCCAAGTAGCTGGCCCCGCCTCGCCAGCGCCTTTTCATTTCTCAGTCGTAAACAAATTGTTCAGCTCTGTGAAAAATTGTAGCAATATTTGGAAAAATGCAAATACTAGATTAATTATGAAAGAAAGCTGAAATCAAATCACGGAAAATTATTTCACGCAAAACCTGAGCTACAGAGTAGAAATCAAATACATTTATCTGATCAAATTGAAATAAAAATATGGTATTTATAGGAAATTCGGATTGTTTTATATGAACCCAGCCACCAGCAAAGACTTCGTGCAAATTGTAACTTAGGTCAGCAACAAATTTTTCTTTTACTTTTGGGAATTTTGCAGCCCTGATGTTTGCCTTTTTCGATTATATTTGCCTTCTGTTTATTTTTACATTTTGTGGATACATAATTCACGGTCATTTCACAAACTCTTGAACTCAGGTGCAAATCCACAACAACAGCGAGAAATCCCACTTAAAATTTTGTATGCAAAAATGCGTAAAGTAAATAAATTCACACCCGATTTACGTAACTCACAATAGCAGCGAGCGAGCGAAAGAAGTGTCAAAATAATTGTCGCCGACAGAAATCAAAGCAATGCATCAAAAACATCATCGTAAAAAACACCTTCGAAAACATAAAAACATACACGGATCAAGTACACTTATCGCGAGCTTCGTATATAATATATCGACTTAGTTCAAGTTCGCACGAATTGATGAATTTTTACGCGTTTCCCATTTTGTGTTTACGACGTTTACAAGTTCAAATATGAAAGTCATGGCTAAGACGAAGAGCTTAAAATATATGCAAATCTTTCGCTAACCATTATAATTGCTTACAAGATGATTTTGATTAATGAAAGTTCGACTATAATATGTGTATAAATTATAATTATGGTATAATGAAATTGAAGTCATGCTAAATAATGCTAAGAGAAATTCTACACATTTTAAATATTAAGTTAGACTCTCTCTCTCGAATCTAGATATCTGAAAATTAGTATATAAGTACATTATTGTGTATGTATGTATATATATATATATATGTGTATATAATATTTTGTAGTGCAAGCTAGTCTATAGACCGAGAGTTAACTAAGCTATCATATAGTAATTGCATTTTCTGATTAGACATTTCAACATTTTAACATAATAAATATAATTAATATTCATTATTTGCTTTTATTGTATTAAAATTATAGCAAACATAAACAATATTTGGACAGGTTTTTAGGGAATTTAAAAATGTATAAATATATTATATTTTTACATTAGCTAGAAACCAATGAAAAAATATTGTCAACTATAGCGATTTTTTAAAATATTTTTTATTTAATTATTATTTTATTTTTATTATTATTTTTGATTAATTTTTTTTAAATATATATATAATATATACTTAAGTTTTTTTAGTTGTTATTTTCGTTGCACCTTTAGTTCAGATTTTTCGACATTTTCATTTTTCATTCTTTTGCAAAAAGTGTTTTTCTAGTACACGAATTTGACCCAATTTTCATAATATATGTATATATATATTCAACTTTTTGTTGTTATTTTTCGCAAAACAATTTCTTGACGGTCGTCGAGAATTTATGTGCGGGACATCAACATCAACATCAGAGAAATGCAGAAAATAAATTTCGACTCTTTCACAAAAACCTCTAAAAAATTAAATAAAAATAAATGCATTTTTATGCCAAATTCTTGGCTATCTCAAAAGTTTTCCTTTCGTATTTTTTTTTTGAGAATTTTTTATGTGCGTGGCACGAAACTTCCGCTGCTGTTGCTGCTGCTGCTGCTGCTGCTGACAGCTAAATTTTCAACACGTGTGCTAAATTTAATAGTACGCAGAGCATTCGAATAAATAGAAATAGGAAAATTAATTAATTAATTCGCGTGAGGGAAAAAAGCTCGAAATGAAAATGTCGCCTGCCAGAAAGCGCGTGCGGTCCCGAGGGCTGCCAAAATAAGAGCTGGCGGCGCAAGCGACGACAACGGCAACAGCAACGGCGACGGCAACAGTATCACCGCCCCCTCAACCATGGGCGTAGGCGTGGGCGTGGGTGTGCACCATTGATGGCCTTCAAAACTCATATGAACCTTAATTGTATGGCTCATTCGTGTATATATTTCACATGTATATAGAGATACTATGTATTTATTTATGAGCGTGCATATAGAAATGCGTGCACATATGCTTTATACATATATGTTTCAGCAAAATACAAAAGAAACACAAGTTTTTACATTTTATGCCGGTTTTTTTGTATAATATTAGTTGGGCAAAGGCAGCAGCAGCTGCTCTCATCTGTATGACTCTTGCGCCTCAGACAAGAAGAAGTTGAGAAATCTTTAAACATTTTCAAATTAGCTAAATATAAATAAAATAAAATAAAATGAATTTGAAATCTTTCTATGAACCAAAGAGAAGAACAATAATAATTTCATATCACCATATGACAAAATATTAAAAATTCGGAGAAAAGGTAAATTTAAAATTTAAAATTTTAATTTAAATAAGCAGAATTATTTGACTTATTTAAAATACATAAATCTATCAACAAAAAATTTTCTAAATCAATTATCAACGCATGAATTATGTTTGAATCGAATCAATTTGTCAATATTAAAAAAAATCTTTATCTTTGTTTACGACTTTTTATTCATATTACTGTCGACTATATAATTAAAAAAAAACTTGCCTTTATTCTTATAATTCTCAGTACTAATTTTATTATATTCGGAAAGACCCAAACAAATATTTATTTTTCGCAGCTGAAATGATATTTAACTTCTCTAAAAGTTTTAAATTTATACAAATTTTTGTACATGAAAGTCATATTCCACAAAATATATATTTATAATTGTGCTTAAAAATTAAAAAAAAAATATTAGTAATTTATAATAGCTAATAAAATCTTAACTCAAACATTTCTGATTTTTGTAAACTCTATTCAAAGAGGAGAAACTAAGAATGCGTACTGAGAACATTAAAAAATATTCAAAAAAAACTATTTTCAAATTGCTTTAAACTTACCCAGAACTCATAGTGATTTTTATTTGTTTCCTGTTTTGTTTTTATTTTACTTTTTAAACTAAAATTTTAGTTTTCACTTCGCACAGAGGCAGCAGTAAATCGTTGTCGCGGTCGTTGTTGTTGCCTAATTGCACGATTTCTCAGCGAAAATGCAATCTATGCACATAAAAACACTGAAAATGTATGAAAAAACTTTAACAATTGTTTTTCATTTTATATAATTTTTAGATACATATAAATTTTTAATTTCTATAATTTTTTGGGTTTTTTGTTTTTTTTTTTTTTGCACAAAGATCACGCTTTCTTATGTAACATTAAATGGAAAAGCATTAGCGCGCATTCACACGCGCACACATACACGCACACTCGCACACACACACACACACACACGCACACTCATACTCAGCAAATAGTTTTTATAGCATATTAAGTATACACATATAGAAGAGGTCTCAGAGGACTGGTCTTTGGGGTTTTAGCAGAGTCAGTGAAGAAAAACCTTTTTCACAATTTTCGCGCAAGAATTTTGTAATTTTCTATTAATAAAACGCGGCACGACGACGCATTGCTCACTTTTGCCCGTGCTGCAGACTCAGCAAATAGATCTATATATACCGCACTCGGCTATATAGACAGCTAGCTAGATAGATGGATAGATATATGTATATATATATATACAAATATATATATGTGTGTATGTTAGTTTATAGTTGAAGATTTCTATTTCGAATGTTTTTCTCGTTTGCAACGCGTTCAAGTTAGCAGCCCAAGTCGCACTGAATTCGCACACGAAATTTTCTTGGCCGAAAAGCCGAAAAAATCACATTTCGAAATGGTTTTCCTTTATGTACATATATATATGTATAGATGTGTATTTCGGCCATTCTCGGACAGCTGTGTGTGTAAAGTGCGTCTGCTTGGAAAATTCTATGAATTTTGAGTTTATTTAAAAGAAAAATTGAGCAAGCGGCAACCAGTGGGCGATCGCTGCTCGCTTGTTTGTACTTTTCTTTTTATTTATTTATTTTTTTATTCATGTGTACTTATGTTGCATACAGAGAACCGCAAATGTTTGCCAGAGCCACAGGAACTATGCTAGACTCGGATATAGCTTCTCGCCGAACGTGCAATGCATTCATGAGGCCCAAGTATTCCCTTTTGATCTGAAATTTGTGGCGAGTCGCAGTTATGAATCAATTCCCAACTGTTTGTTCAGATTGTATTTATAAAGATGACCGCGACTGTGTCCATTTGCTGCTCAAGTTGTACATAGGCAATATGTTTTAGTTTTTTGTCAAATTGATCGGGTGCCAAAAAAGCGAGAAGCCAAAAAGAAAACATGTAAACAAATAGGCGCATGCAGCTCGTGCCTGTTTGAACATTCAGTACATAGACAAAGCGTCAAATCAGTATATATGTATTGAGCCCATTTGTGTGCGTGTGCTATATGTAAAGGAAAGCTTTAGACCAACAGCCGCCAAATATCATGCACACAGCGCTGGCAATCAAGTATCAAAGCCAAGTGAATGATACCAAATGGTTGGGCCAGTCAAGGGTTTCTGCAAGGCGGCCACATGCTTGGATATATCATAATAAATCACCCATAAATTAAGAGGAAACTAGAAGATGTTTAAGCATCAGCTCTATATACATACTATAAGATCGAAGCAAACATAAGCCCAGCCAGCAGACAAGCCAACACAATAGATGGCAGATGGAGAATATGCAACGTCTGCGGCATTCATCTTAGTTTAAAAATGTATACATCTGCTCATAGATATATCTTATATACATAGTATATAGTATATGAGCTATACGATTAGATTAACTGTAGTTAGTGTCTAGACCACCTGCCTAAGACTCTAATTGGCTTTTCATATTGCGCACTTTCCTCGATGAATAATGCTAATGCGTTGATTATAGATTATATATACATATATATATTTATATATCTTTTGCATATGTGTATTCAAATTGGCTTGTACTTTATTTTTGTGCAAAATGCGCCATTAAATCGTATAAATAGATTGTGGAAAAGCGCACAGCGACTGGGTCTGAGTCAACGAGCTTCGAACATTAACCTCATTAGACGAGCGTAAAACGATTTGTTTGAATTACGAGTTTAGTGTATTTGAAATACTTGAGGCTTTCAAGTGGCCGACAGATTGTCTATAAAATGGGCGCGGTTGTCCAAACATTGAACAATAACAAGTAGAAGAAGAAGAAGACATTCATTGAAGTGACAGCTACTTAAGACTCATAATTGTGCCCATTGCATTCTTCATATGTAAATACTATTTTTATATCCTGAGCCCATTGACAATTGTAATAAGGGTCTTAATGGCTTTGCGAATATGTATGTCAAAGGTAAAAGGAGGCGTGGCCGACTCTGAGCTGAGTCGATCTGGCCATGTGCAGCGCTTCATCTGTCTGCCTCGCTGAAGCTAGCGACTTGAATATATTCTCCACAGTTTTAGAACTTCGAGAGCTAAATCTGGCGCGTAAGTTACTCCTGCCATCTTCTACAGATCAACGCAAAAATATATGCCCACACCCACTAAGGGCATGGCAAACCAACGTTGACTACATAATGCTTTGGAAAAATTATATTTAGTTTTAACGCTAACAGTGCTAGGGACCTTAAATTGTGAATATATATAGTTGGTAGTACAACCCACATTAAATAAGATTTAGATTACATATCGATGCCCAAAGGGGCACTGCACACCTCATAATGAATAAAAGCAATGTATATTTTTTTTACTCTATGAACGAGTATAAAAAATTAAATTTAGAAAGCATTAATTAGTTGACTCTTAAGCTATACCTTCCACAATATATTATTTAGAAATATATATTAAACATTGTATATAACATATTTATACTAAATATTCAATTTATCCAAATTTAAAAAATATATCAAACTTTTTATGTTTTTAATACACATACAGCAATTGCTCCTGAGCTCATAATCATAATCATTTCTTGTGGCTGCCAAAGCAATAACTTTAAACTATTTTTAATATATATAATTCAATCAAAGTTATAGTGGAAACAAATTCAGAAATTAGGAAAAGCTCTGAGATTTTTCTTTATAAAATATATGATTTAATTCTTTAATTTTTATCAGGCAGAGTCGATCTAGCCATGTCCGTCTGTACGTTATTGATAAATTTTGATCAATGTTAATTTAATTTTTAGCTTACAGAAAGCCACACTTGAATTAAGGAAAACAAATACAAATCATGTTTACGCAGAATCTATCGAATGAAAACACATTAAAGAAAAAGCAATTAAGCCCAGAAAATCACATAAGTTCAATGCACTCGTCACTAACAGATACAGCAACAGCAGCAACAACAAAATGTTTAAACAAATCGCTTGGACGGGAGAAAACTAAATACATGTCATGAACATTATTAGTACACACAAAGCAGACACTGAAAGAAATTTCTGGTATAATTTGATGCGTTTGAAGTTGCGCGAATTATAAAAATCATTTGCGCGTGTTTTGAACATGCAAATTGTCGGCTGTGCGTCGAATATATAAAGAAAAGCAAAGGAAAAAATAGAAAAAACATTTGCAATAAAAATGTAGCCAATAAAAAAAAGCGTAGCATGGGCCTTGGCCATTGAAACGGACGCGTCGCAAGTGTTTCAATGATTTCTTATTTTATTTTTGTATTTGCAATTAAATTTGTTAAGCATAAAAAACCGCGTAAGTATCTCTACATTTTAGCTACACACAAATACAAATAAATATATATATACATATATATATATATATACATATATATACATATATATATACACATATATTGATACATCTAAGATTTGTAGTTTAGTTCTTGTGCGTCAGCGGAAATTTAAATATAGCGCAATTGAATATTTTACTTAATTAGTCGAACCTCGAGGAGTGAATGGCAAAAGCAGAGCGAGAGAGACAAAAGCTAATAACAATCATATGCCGCCCTCGACACGCCCTAATTGTAGTCATCGTCGCTTTCCTCGTCGCTGGGCAGGTGCACCGCCTGCCTGCTGGCATGCAGCAAAGACGTCTGCTGCACGTCTATGGCCAGTGGCTTCCGCATATCGTAGGCATCCTCGTCGGGATCGCCCGGATAGTACTCTAGCAAGACACGGCGCAGACAGTAGCCCAGAGAGCAGTAGAGCTTGTAGGCACTCTCATTACTGCACCGCAAATACAGATCCACATACCAGGCATTCTTGTAGTCCAGCATTTGTGCAAAGTGGTTCATGAGGAGCGAGGCGACACCTAAGCGACGAAAGTGCATTTCGACGGTCAATGCACACACGTGGCCATGCATGTCAGTGTCATCCATGCCGGGCTGGAACTTGCCAAAAATGAAACCAGCCAACTGGCCATGGGGTGTTATGGCAGCCACCGCCAGTTCGGGCCACTGGGCGAGATGGCGCATAAAGAAGCTGAGGCGATAGACCTCTGTGAATGGATCGAAGACTAACGTATTAAATTTAAACAGATCATCGAGATGCATCTCCCGCAGACAACTCATGATGATATCGGAATAAGGTAATCTGTATCTTAAACAAATAGATTTAGATCATGGCAAGTGAGTGTTGTTTACTAACTATTTATGCTTATGGCTCACATTCAAAACGATTTGACAACATTCTCAAAGCATGTTCATAATGGCATTCTTTAGCCGATCCATCACCACTCTCACCAGCTGCAACATCTCCTGCCCAGCGCTATAAAATCCCTCGATAACATTGACCTTCCTCTTGAGGCAGACACCCTCAACATCCTGTGAGAGCGGCAAGCGCATTTCATACCCATAATCATCGACATAGTATTTGGATAGAAAGCAATACTTTACATAGCCCAGTAGCTCATAAAACTTAATGGCGTTCTGATTCTTGCAGCGCACGAATAGATCGACATACCAGTCCCCGTCTACCTCCATTTTGGCTTTCAAGCCGTCCATCAATAACGTGCCGAGACCTAATCGTCGGAAATCGCTGTCAATGGACACGACGCTGACGTGACCATGGCTGCCCATCACACGTGAGTCGTTACCATCTCCAACAACATCCTCATTGATGATGCGAGTTCCCATTGCAAAACCCATCAACTGCTCGTTGGGAGCAACGGCGACTTTAGCCAGCATGGGAAACTCAATTAGTCTGGACACAAAGAAAGAGATTGAATAGACTTCGGTCAGAGGATCAAAGATAATCCTGTTGAATTTGAACAGATCATCGAATGCAAGTTCACGTACTGCAGTCATATTGCCAGCATCTGCTTTTTATCTAAATTCGAAGAGTTGTTTCTATACTAAAAATGTGTCGCAAAATTAACTGATGAGTGTTTGTTCGTAGCCAGTTATGCTTGCTCAAGGGAAACCAAAATCAGGATTCAAATAGCAGAAAGTAATACATTGCTCAACTAATAATAGAAAAGTGCATTATAAGCCCCCTCTGCTATCAGTATTCGAGACTCGGATACCGCGAAAAAAAATGATTTAAGAGAAGTGCGGCTTGCTTCTATATCAAATCTATATATTCAAAGAGCTATGGCTTATTCTATTGATATTCCAGTCAAGACTAGTAAGTAGGAAAGTGGAGAATAGGCCTCTTTAAAGAGAACTGCTTATATTTGTAATATGAATTGTTAGATGCGATTTAAATAAATTTAAATGAAAATATGTTATATATTTTACAACAATTTGAACGAAACCAATATATTCTTGCAACTCGTAAATGTGTATAATTATTATATTATAATATATATAATATATAATATATATAATTATTATATTATATTATTATATTATGTCCGATATATACTATAGAGTCAGTTCACATTGACGGCAAGGAGGATAATGGATAGACGGAGATTGTACCAAAAAATTGCATTCTGGCTTATGGCTGAACGCTTTTGGACTTTACTAACTAACTGAGAGTGCAAAAGAACGTCCTGCAGAAGTTAACAGTCGAATTAATTGGAATTCACTTAAATTAGAGTAATGCATATTTCTTTGGTTTTCATATATAGTGGATGTAAGTGTTTGTTAGTTGAACGTTATTTGAAGAACTCCGTTTTTATTGATATGCTATTATGAATGAAGTAAACTTTTTCAAACAGCAAATCACTGCTACTTCTTTTTATCAGCTTCAAATATATATTTAATTCAGAAACACAATTTATGCTTACATATCTGACAATGCACGGCTCATATGAAAGCGTCTACATATATATCGTATTTTACATAACATTTACTTGCCGAAAAATAAAGATTAAGCTGAACAACCATTTTCGGCACCCAACGAGCTTACCGCTATTTTAAACGGAATTGAAGTTGGCTGCGCCTGTATACAGAGCCCAGGCAAGCAGTTGCTTATGCTAGCAGACAAAAGCTTACTGCTATCTACTCTACAAGCAGACGCCTTTTAAATTTTCAATTAGTTACATTAAAATAATATAAAATTTTAAGTAAGGACACACGATCACCAAAAAATGTTATATTAATTCAATATTTAACTAATCAGCCAAAAAATGTGTTTTCGACAATTGAAATCGAGTCAAAACAACTTTCTTCATCTTTCTTTAGCTTTGCGCAGTAGTGTACACTTAGTATATTAGCTCCTATCGATAGCTGTCTAATAAGCATAATTGTTTTGTTACTTAATATTTCTGATATCGATATATGCCAGTTCGATAGTGTCGAGCCGCATGTATTTGTACTGCTTAGCACACAATACACCATAACACAAAAATGTTACGACATTTTAGCCGAATTGGATTTCAAAATATTAGACCAAATTTTAATGACGTCCAGTCCGTACGTCGCATGGCTGGACATTCAAAATGGGCCAATATTAAGCATATTAAAGCGCAGAAAGATGGATTACGAGCAGCTCTTTTCACAAAGATTTCCAGACAACTGCGGCTGGCTGTACAGGAAGGAAAATCGGCCGATCCTGCTGTGAATACACTTTTACGATCGGAAATAGAAAATGCATTGAAGAGAAATATGCCAATGGGAACAATTCAAAATACAATTAAGAAATGCCAGCTTAGCAAAGCACAGCTGAAAAAACATCGCTTTGATATAAGATTTAGAAGAAAAGTTTACATGGTTTGCAGCATATATAGCGATAATCTGCCTATGGTTAAAATGGATGTTACACCAATGATTAAAAAATCTGGGTAAGTGTATTAACTGATATAAAGAAGAGTTTAATATAAATATAAAACCTTACTTAAGTCAGAAATCTATTGCAGAGCTGAATTCATAGATGTGAGCCATATGTTTGAAGACTTTGGACTTATAGAAGCTCGTTATACGTCACCGTTATCCACTACTGAAAACAGCTTAGAGGAGAAGGTCACTGAAGACGCAATCCAATTAGGTGCTGAAGATGTTGAAATTGTGGATGTTACCACTGCTGCAGTAAATGTTAGTAGTCAAGGCAGATAACTAATCAGCACGTAGATGGGATATCTGATCGAAGCTAATTGCGACAGGTTCTAATTCCCATCTACAGGTTGTAGGGTTCGGGCTTATATCTAGAAATAATCTTAATTAATTAATAATAGATAAATAGATAATATTAATAGATAAATCTGATTAGTTCATTTGCAGTCCGATTCATTTGACTGGCCTCAGCAAGACTTTAGAGCAAAATGGTTATTCGATCGAAAACAGCGAGCATGTATTCACACCACATGTAAGTAGACTCTCGCACATCTTTTATGATATATGATAATAATTTGAGTGATATTTCAGAGTCTTGTACAGCTGGATGCAGACGAAAAGAAGGCATACACTGTATTTGTACAGAAACTACGAGATGTTCCTGGTCTAGAAGACATCTATGATAACGTTGAATAAAGTAATGTATTTAGCAATATATTTATATAGTAATATTTATTGTACATAACTTGCAAATAATCTATGTTTCAAATTACATGTATGTAAAGATGTGAATAAATATTTTATAAAATTACAAACTATTTCAAATGTGCTCGGCCTACTGGTTACAATGGAACAACATTTATACTACGAAATCTCTTATATCAAATGCTCTTTACAATGCGGTAATGGGAGTCTTTCCTTGCTTGTCTCTCATTAACAGTTATTTAACTTGAAGTTCCCTGAATAAGATCCAACCTATTTCAAAAATTAGAAATTAGTTGTTTGCATTTGATTTCGATACGAATATGGTTTTGCGTAGACTTACAATTTGTAGAGGTTCAGCAGCTGAAAGCCTAGATTGTCTAACCGAAAACGCGAATTAGAAAAATCTATATAGCCGACAAAAATATTTAAATACTACTACAAAATGTTTAACACTCGTTTGAAAATTCCTAAAAGAGTTTAATTATTTGTAAATAATTTAAATGAACTGGTTGTAAATCATATAATTAATGCAGCAATACTTTTACAACATTACGATTAATTGCATTTAAAAAACTTCTTTAACTTAATTAGAAATCTTGCATATAATCATAACGGGTTTTTCTTACAATTTTTATTTTGGATTCTCACTGCTCAAACATCATGCAGGCAGGCTTTACAATTTGGGATTGTCGAACAGAGGACCACGCGTTACCGTTATATCGGCATATGGCGCGGATTGCGTTATATGCAGAGCTTTGAACTTTTTCAATACCAGCAGCGAGTAGAACTTCTGAGCAGCCTGTTTCCTTGAGTTTCGTACTGTTAGCTGCGAGAGTGTTAGATGATCATTGTTATTAAAGTGAACTCTGACATCAAGGAAAAGCTGCGCGGCTCGTTTGTTCAGGACTCGCTCCTCGAATTGCTCATCTGTTTCATTTTCCATTTGTTCCTCGGCTGTGGCATTCGGAATGCCCACTGAAGGTGGAAAATCGTAGTCATTCCAATCTGTTGAAATATCGCATGACTTATTGAAGTTGTTGCCAGCGGAGATATTTCTTCCTTCTGTCTCATTGAATATCGAGCTGACTTGGTCCGGTGGCAGGTTTGGCATACAATCAATGTCTCCAATTCCTCCATGGTGTGGTGTCATCTGGCCATGCTCTAATCCAGCAGGTGTTAGGTCGCCGTGATGGAAATCATCTCCCATATCTTGGTGACCATCACGCGGTGTCAAGGGTAGTTCATTGAGATTTGAGAAGTTCTCCATGTCATTGAATGATAGCAGAGCAGGACTACGCATATTCTCAAAGATCGCTGCCTCATTTTGTGGTCCAATGCTTTCGTGCTCTTTTGTGGTAATATCTAACGATACAGCCGAAACGCCCAGCGATTTCTCCTGCTCACGAATCATTTCGGGCGCTGCCAAGCTCTGAGTCAGTGTATTATTATCTGCACTTTGATCAGCAGCTAAACTTGCAGAGGCATCATTCTTACGCTTACGTCCCTTTTTGTTTACAATTATAACTGAGCTCTCGCCTTCCTGTGCGTACAATTCCAAGGCCAGAACGTCCATGGGGGCAATAGCTGAGAAGTCCTCCAGGGGCGTTGAGTGTGAAAGTAATTGCCGATTATAGTTATTAAGTAGTACTCTGGCGGGGATTGTCCGAGAGGGCAGAGCAAACAACTTTTCCACACCACCCGTTTCTTTCCAATACATCAATCTCTTTGTGGGTGGGGCCAGATCGAGTGTCGTTAGTATATCGGATGTATCTGCAAGTTGAGCTTTCATTTCCTCTCCCGATATATTTTTGATTTCATCAATAATAAGCTTCCGCTTGCGCTTGGCTTTTGTGGCACCCTTATAAGTAGTTGCATCAATGGGCGCTAGAGCAAATCCCTCGTCGTCATTTTGTACCAGAGTAAGATCATTTAATGCTGCATCCCCACTAGCTGCATTGACGTCTTCATTAAAACTATGATCTTTTGCCTGAAAGTTATCCTCTTTGTCGTCGTGAACCGAGTCGGCACAGGAAGATGCCGGCGATGGAGGGTTGTTAAAATTGTCGATACCATCATCATCCGAATAATCTGGCGGATTGTTGGGTTCATTAATTGCTGTATTAATGCCAACTGTTTGCGGGGGCTCGCCAAATAGATCATCTTCGAATAATGCTGGTTGTCCAAAGGAGTCGCCAAAGCCATCGCCATCCAGTCGATCACTTGGCATTTCGGACTGTGTTAACGTAATGTTTGGATCATTTGGTTCAACGACATTTGTGAGAACATCGTCATCGAAAAGCTGATCATTTATATTTGCTGACAATGGGCCACGCATCATTTCAGGTGTGTCCGCCTCAAATCCAATGTCACCAAAGCCGTCGTCCTGCAGGGACAGCGACAAACTTCCATAATCTTCTCGCATAGTTATTTCATCTGCTCGAGACTGGTTGACAGAGAACTGGGCCTCAATATCAATATCATTAAGTTCGGGTAAAGCTGTGTCAAAATCGTGGAACACTTCGGGCAGCGTAATGGCATTAACATTAGCTTCTCTATGGCCTTCAGGTAAGTCCACCATTCCTGGCCTGAATGCCATTTTGATTTTAACAAATGCCTCATTGCAATCCGCCAATAGATATTTTGCTTTCCTTGAGTATATTCGCACAACTCCAAGCAGTAAATGGCCTGAGGTACGTAGCGCCAATTTTACTTTTGGCTGTAAAATACCTTCCACAGATTTTTCTATATTTGTTTCGAATACGTGAGCTTTTGTAATTTTCTTATCCCAATGAGCTGCTAACCAAATTCTGGCTAGCGGCCCTTTTTTGGCCAATATTATGTGTTCGTAGAACATTTTTTTACTTTTGTTTTAATCTTTCAATCGTCTTAATACACAAACAAAACAGAGACGCACAAATTACTAAACAACATGGCGACCTAAATGCTGGTATAAATTTCCGATAAGAAATATCGATAGTTGCATATACTTGAAAATGTGGAATAAATAACTTTGTGTACATTTTTTGTGCATAATAATAGTTATTTCTATTGTTCTTAAATTAATTAAAAAATAATATAACTAATAAACACATGAAAAATGAAATAATAAAAATACCGATTAATCTAGATTTTTTTAAGACATTTAATGTTCCGTTCGTTGACACACTGAATTTAATTTTCTTTTAATTTTCTGTAGTGTGGTATTCTTAATTCGAATAAATTATTTTCTTCACTCAACAAGATAAATATGTAATTTTATTAAATAATTATTTTTGACATACTGTTAATTAACATATAAGGATGTTCTTTTAGTATTTTTTATATTTTAAAGTGGGTCACATTGTTTCAACATATGTTTTGTTGAGGTAAAGTGTTCTTATAATTAGATATAATATATAAAAATAAATAAAAGCCAACCGCAAAATGGCCCTTAACGGGTTTTTGGACTTCTTTCAAAAGGGAAAGGTATGTCAATGTATATATGCTTGATAGATTATTATAATATGTACAAGGCAACAATCTTAACAGCAATGTTGATGGACTTATTAATATAAAAATGCTTTTTTTGGTTTGCAGACTTTTAGGCCAAATAAAAGATTTACCGCCGGTACCATTCGCTATTCACTTCATAAACAGGCGCAAGCTAGTTTGAACTCTGGAATTAATTTACGTCAAGTTGTACGATTGCCGGAAGGCGAGAAAATGAATGACTGGTTAGCAGTGCACGGTACAGTACATTCATATGTAGATGAGACATCAAGAACGAAGTTTTTCACACAAAGCATTTGGACGGCAGCTCACGCTCAACATCGTAGTTACTCAGGTTCTTTACTCTCTAGAGCTGCCAATTATTAGTGCTGGACAGCCATTAGATAAGGTGTGATCGTTCGGGAACCCCGATGCTCCTGTTTATTTATGTTTGCATGGTAATAACGTACGGAGAAGAGTATCCGCGCACCCTTATACCCGTTGTATATGTATTAGCATTTACCTGATGTTGTGCGGAAGAGTTTATTCTAGATGTCCCATCTTTGTATTGCATGACTGGCTCTTCTTTCAATAATATATTGCTCTTCTTTTACAGTTGTTGACTTCTTCAATCGCATCAATCTCATTTATGGTACGGTGTCTGAATTCTGCAATGAGACTACGTGTCCGACAATGTCAGGTGGCTCTAAATATGAATATTTATGGGTGGATGGAGATATGTAAGCAAATAATAGATGTATAATATAGATAATTACATTTCATTATTAAATTATAGATACAAAAAACCCACTGCGCTGCCTGCACAAAAATATATTGAGCTGCTGATGGAGTGGATTGAGACTCAGATAAACAATGAAGCAATATTTCCCGTTTCCACAGGTACAAATTGATTAAAGTCCAATTAAACAATATTATTTTATCCATGCTTTTGTTTTCTTTTATTGTAGATGTTCCTTTTCCGAAGTCATTTAGCTCACTAAGTCGAAAGATTTTAACACGATTATTTCGCGTCTTTGTACATGTTTATATTCACCATTTTGATAGGATAGTTACAATCGGAGCGGTAAGTGAAAGGCAATGATTAATAACACTAATGAACATGAAATATTATTGAAGTAATTGCATAATTTGCATCTTTTTTACTTGCAGGAAGCACACGTGAATGCGTGCTATAAGCATTTTTATTATTTTGTTCAGGAATTCGAACTGATATCTGCCAAGGAATTAGAACCACTGCAGGAAATGACATCCAGAATTTGTAAAGATAAAGAGCAATAGTTTCGCAAGCCTAAAGCTAACTATTATATATATTTATATATATATATAACTTTTAATCTCAAGTCATAATTTTATGTTGCTTTTACATTTAGTTGATATATATGTATATGATTGTATGTTAGCTGTAAGTCTGTTATGTCAAAAACTATACAATAAAATAGATCAGAAGGTGTTTTGCCAAACAATTTCTATTTTCGATGAATTTAAAAGTTTCATCGATCTAAAAAGCTAAATAATGAATACTATTATTGTCTAATATGATTGGAAACTAAGGTTGGTGGAACGATGTATGATAGCTTTTTAGCTGTGATTTATTGTGTTAATAGATTATATATGTATTTATATATAAATATATTCTTATAAGCAATCGTAGAGATGCTCTGAATTGATTGCATTAAAGTACACGAGGGTCAGAAAAGGACTAGGAGAAGTTCGATCCTGGCCCGTTTAACTGCCTCTTCCTCTTCAACATGCTCCACTACCTAAGCTCTGCTACAATAGTCACTGTTCCTTAAGGGAAGTTAAGACCACCCATCAAATGTTGAGCGTAAACTAGCGCAGGTGACTCTGCCAATCTCAGTCACACGGCTGCGACACTGTTGAACCAGCCGACTAGGAGAGCTCCCACAGACAAGTATTGGCTTGGAATATAATTATTTATTCATTTAATGTTTTGCATTGCAATGATTTGCTAGCAACTAATTAAGCTTAAATATCATTATTATGTATCAAAACTGTAAGGATTCACGCCTTTTTGGCAAACACTAAAATTTGTAAACTTTGGATTTGGTTCACTTAGATTCTCCTGAGTAGAACTTGGTAGTTTATAAAAAATAAGGCAAAACTGTTTATTTGACAAAGAATTGCTTGCAGAGTCTTTAAGCAACTTCAAACCTTTCAAGCCGGCGGTCTTGACGTTGACTTCTCATATGCCAAAGGCAAGATACGAGAATTTAAGCATTTCTAATCCCACATTATACATGCAAGTCGAGCAATTATATACTTTTAGTTGAAATGCAATTATAAACTTAAGTGATACATATTTTGCCGAATGCTTAAGAGATATCTTCATCAATTTAATCCAGGGATAAACTGCGAACAACGTGAAACTCCACCCACAGAGGCGATTGCAAAGAAAATTATTAGGTGTTTTATACACAGTTAATGTGTATACAGGATAAAGCGGCTATAACCAATAACAGTAAAGTTGGGTTGAGCCAAGCAACCTACAACCACTTTACAACAACAACAAAAACAACCAACACAACACGTAAAGACCAATGAGAATAAATTGAATATACATATACGTGTCGGACAGGGAGCGACACCTTCTACGACTCTGCGGCGCGACGAGCCGTTGGCTCTTTAGGGGTTGCTCTGAATGGTCGACAAAGAGCGCGGCCAAAAGGGAGCGAGTCGATTTACTCAATGAGAGCTGCAGAAAAAACTTAACTTAACTATAAAATATATGAATTATTTTTATTTAATTTATTTAATTAAAAATTAAACAATAAAATAAAAGTTAAAATTTCGGTAGTTTTTATGCTTAACTTTCAGCTGCTTAAATGCTATTATTACTATGTATTTATTTACCTAATGTATTGGTTATAATTCTATATAATATATACGAAACTAGCATAAAAATATTAAATTTTATTAATTAAATTACAATTATCTAAATATTTAAATATGTGCCAAATGTCAATTGCTTGTTGATCCAAGGAATCTCAGCGTATTTGTGCGTGTTTTACTCTCTCCCAGTGGGGGCAGCAGAATGGCATGCGCAGCAGTTAAGAGCAACAAAAAAAAGACGTAGAGAGAGATTTTAGCTCTATGTAAGTTTTTTTATATTTGAATTGGAATGGAACTGTATGGGGACCTGTAATGCTATTGGCGTTCCTTGTGAAGTAGTCGAGCGTTTTATTTTGTAAGAGCAACTATGGTGCATCGGAGTGAAAGTGCTGTGAAGAAGAATATTAAAAAAGCTTAATATCTAATTGTACTGAGGCGAGATGGAGCAATTAGCACAGTTTGTAAATAAATCATTCGAGTTTAATTTAACAAATAATCGAGTCAACCATTTGTTCAACTCGATGACAAGTGCGCGCATCCATAAACTAGCCGACGCAACGACATCGGCCACAAAGTCAATATTAGTGAGCCCGAACCGACTGGGCAGAATATCTGTTGATGATTGTGCTAACGGTGAAGAGTCCATGGACATTGATATAACCGATATTTCGGTAGCCGAAGAGAATAGCTCCGAGGATGACGCGAGTTTGCCTAAGCCCCTGTCCCTGGTCAAAATTCGTACGCTTCAACAGCAATCGGTTGCAACTGTTTCGGATAGTGAAGAGTTTCGTAAGACTGATCCTGCCCCAAAGCCAAAAAACTGGTTAATTTCCGACCTATTGGTAACGGATGCACAATCAGAAGGTAATTCTGTTAATCAGTTAGAAATAGCAATTATAACTATTTTGATAAGACCATTTATATTAGGAGTTATAAATAATTATAATTTAGAAGTTATACAAACATATTGAGCTTCTCTTGTTTGATCGTGGAACTATTTTTGTTATACGTTAGCCAAAATATAAGTATATTTAAACACATAAAGTATATGGTTATGGCATATATATCCCTATCAAATCATATCTCAAGTGGGTTTTTTAGTTTTTTTTTTTAAATTTCAATTCGTTTTATATAATTTTAGATGAAAAATGTGAAAAGAGATCCTCCCGTTTCGATGACTCGACTACATGTATCTCAAGCACAGCGAATGGTTCGAAGCTGAATGGTGACCTGATCGTGAAATTTCAAGATGCAGATTGTAAAACCAGCAGCAAGTGCATAAATAATATGCAAGTTCCTGAGATCGAGAGCTCGTCAAGTAAATATAAAAAAAAAAAACAATAAAATAAAAAAGAATACAACGAACGAAAAGTAGATAAATTGAACAATACGAGTAAGAGTGCTGTAAAGGGACTCTTTAAAGGATATACTAGTTGTCAAATGCTGTAGAAGTTGGCTTTAACACTATGAATTATATACGGCGTTAGAATTGCATGCTATGTATAATTTATAGGCTTATCTGTATAAAAAATCTGTAAAAACTGAACTGTAAAACTTAATGATCAAAATTTTCTAACTTCAAACATCATTCGGCATGTCACGCAAGCAAGCTGTATTTATATTTGATTTTTAGTGAATATTCATAACACTAATTGCTATGTGTCCTACTTGAAAAACTGTTGAAACATGCCCTCAAATAAGCGTAGCCACATAACTCGTCTAATCCCATTTGGGTCTGACATATATTTTAAATACGAAGAGTGATAGTGTGATAGAATAAAAGAATAAAAAAGAATAGTTAGCGATCTGATTATCTGATTGAAAATATAATATAATCGTAAATATTTACTGCCTTTCACATTTAGAACGGATTTATTTTTGCAGCTTGCCCGATCTATTTTGCTTTTAAGACCTATTAAGACACACGCCTTTTTCACATTATATATAAATTGTTGGCCTGTGTTATACAGTTTTAAAAATAGAGTTATACAAAATAGTATAACAGTATTAACAATAAGCGTATTACTGTTCAACCGTAAATAACAATTTGTGTCATGTTGCTATACAAATCTGTTGTGCAGCAGATTAAAAAGTGTTATACAAATTCCATGTCTATGATATTAGGAATGTTTGTGATTTTCCACAGTGTTATTTGGAATATAAGAGCTATACAAAATAATAAGACAATATAAACAAGTGTTGTGAATTTAATTTAATTAATTTAAAAAAAAACAGAAGTGTTATACAAAACTATTGTGTAGGAGCGGAAGTTTAAAAAGGTGTTATACTAACCGATTCAGCATAAAATTAAAAATGTTGGCTTATAACACTGATGTGTTTTACAAATTTTTTGTATATGAATTTTGGTATAAATGAATTTTACAAAATGGCTGAATTTCATGGATAAGAGTAGTGTAATACTCCATTATATACTGAACAAAAGTGTTATACAATCAAAATATGTGTATTAAATGAAAACTATATGTGTTATACAATACGATTGTGCATGAGATTGGTGACCAATGGTTTTATATAGTGTTAGAGGTACTGAAGCAGAGTGTTATACATAACAGTTATACATAACTATGCAACTATGTGTTATACAATTAAGTCTTGTGTATCAAATTGAGAATATACATATGTGTTAAACGGAATAAAATTGTTTATGAGTATATAAAAGTGGTATACTTTACTTTAAGTGCTAAGAAAATGTGTTATATAAAACCTTTGAGTATGAAATTGTGTTATACAAAGGTGTAATCACAATTAGGAATATCTAGCAGAGCACACATATGCATGCATCAGTATTAGTTTAAGCCTTACTTAGATTCATATTCATTTAATATATATACTTAGATACTAGATAACAACTAAATCGGTATTTGCCATTTGATTTGATCACAACAGAAACGAAAACGCCTGCAACGATTACTATAAACATCAATGAATGCTCGGAGGATAGTAATTCCCCAGAGTTGTCATTGCACAAGGTGGTGAATTCTGAAAAGTCTATATCTATATCGCCGGAGCCACAATCAAGCGTAGGAGATACCAATATAGGCCGCATGGAACACTCAGGACTCAGCAGCAAACAGCGAAGATCGCGCACAAACTTCACGCTTGAGCAGCTGAACGAACTGGAGCGACTCTTCGAGGAGACCCATTACCCAGATGCCTTTATGCGTGAGGAGTTGAGTCAGCGCCTGGGACTGAGTGAAGCACGAGTGCAGGTAAGAAAAGCAGTCGGGTGTAACCAACTACCTAATACTCGGCTTATAAACAAAATCAATGATATTCTATGCCATGGCTCAAAGGGCAGACCACGTCTATCTGTAGAGAAGATCGAGTGTTAACTACCCGAAAATTGTGGCTGACATGTTTTAGTTCTTCCTGATCAATTACGCTTCAGTGGGCATGGATATATGTAGAGTTTTGGATCAGTCAATGGGAGATTACCCAATTTCCTTAATATACACAATACATATATACTATATATTACAATTGACTTTGAGACACTCCAACTGAATATACGATATGTTCTCATAGGAAGGTTATATAAAGACAAAAAAATTCCAAATCTGTAGCCCAATTCCTATGGAATACTATGAGTATACGCATTTCAAGTGCCAACATATTGATATACATCGCACAAAACCAATAAACTCCCTTCATCTCAAGAGCGAGAGTATTAAGAACTGTCGTCAAATATTTTTGGACTGACAAATAGATAATGATAAATATGCAGAAGTTAGCCAAAGGCCAGGGCACAAATTGAAAATCAATTGATATTCATTATAACTGTTCTTTCCATTCTACACCAAAAGAAAGTTGTGTAACTAAATTTGGCTTTGCAACCACCAGAGCTACGCAGCGCGCTACGAAAAAAGAGATATGGGGTGTTAAGTGGTTTACGCCGCCCTTCGTTGCAATTATACTGAAGTAAGAGAATCGTCGAAACAACAGGGGGCCGATTACAAGTTAAATGCTCAATCAGGGCGACTCTTAATGGACCGCTATGTGGTAATCTATGAACAACCTACTGGTTCTTCCTGCAACTACTATAAATTACAAGTCCCGTCCTACACTCGACTATTTACAATCAATTTATTGTAAGTAATGGAAATGAGCAATGCTTACACTTAGAGCTCCAAAAGTTTTGTTGCATATTCCACAAATGGACTTTCGATATATGTTTGGCTAGTCAAGGATTATTTAGCCACATTCGGGTGAAAGCTCTTAAATCATGTGACGAACCTTCCTGCATTAAGATTTTGATATATGGTGCAAAATTCAAAACATTTAGTTCGAGGTGTTTAACTAAATTAATAGGTATACGGTTCTAGTTCAAAATATAAATTTTTAACTGAAATCGAATTTTTAAATATTTTTTATTCTGAAAATGTTTTCTTCACTTCTGTAATGAAATAACCTCTCCAAATTAAATTATAAATCTTGAATTTAATTTGACCTTTTTTACAGGTTTGGTTTCAAAATCGAAGAGCGAAATGTCGCAAACATGAAAATCAAATGCATAAGGGTAAGTAATACTACTCATGTAGAGCAACTACTTTCATTATTATTGTTAACGAGTATTTTTGGTTCTCTTCAGATAGCTCAGCAAAAGAATTTATTATTTATCAAATATCTTATAGAATACATTTTTAATTAATGAACATGCTTCGAATTTGTACTAGGAAACAAGAATCCAAACACAATACTCGTTGCAATAAAAACCTATCAGGAAGTTGGGTGTAACCGACTGCATTATGCTTGCTTGCATTCCAAAATCAACTAAATTGAATGCAAAATAGGCCTTGACTTAACTCATTTATAATGTTGAATGCACAGTTTATATTATTTATACTACTTATTTATAATATTTATAAAAAACTTGATGAACTTCGCTTTAAGTGTGGCACGTGGAGTACATAGCACTTATCCCTTGGCCTAGTATATGTATATCAATAAAAATATAACATAACTTAATCAATCCTAAATTAATTGTAATTTAGTTAAGTCTTGGAGTCCGTGTATCAATGGCAGATTTTACCCGATTTTTCTTCGCTTGCCTGCACAGTCACTAGGCAGACAGCAGGACACTCTGCAAAACGAATATACTCTTTTCACTTCAAAAACGAGCATGACAATTTAATAAATTTGTATCAAGGTTAATAATAAAAAAATTATTGCTCAACATTTGAAATTCGCATCTGCTGTGATTTTTCGAAAATCGCAAGAAAATTTCCCCTTTCTATATCTGCCATATCTGTGTATATATAACAGCGGCCTGGTGACAGCGACACAAATCATTGCCAACTTAATCAAATTAAATATTCCAGCCGTAAAAGTGGAAAATAAAAATGTTATCCGCTGAGCTGAGGCCGAGCTGGGGGCGGAGCGCTGAGGGGGCGTTGATGAATGAACGGGAAGGAAGCAATCAGAGAGAAGAGGGTGAAGGTTTTGCTATATTAATGATGATACATTTGAATATACTGCGAAACCATGACATATTGCGTTAAACAGTTGGCTAAATATTTTCATAGAGGGTACAGGCATTAAGGCAACACAGTTAAGCTGTAAACTTTCAACATTTACTTAACTAATTGCCGTGTTCTTTTAAATTTGCATAAATTCAAATCAACTCCGTGTTCAATATAACGACGAGGAAGGATTGTGGCTTAGGATGGCATTAACAAACGTAAGAAGGGTGCAAATAGAAATTAAAGAGGAAACGTAAAAGTAGAAACTTTTTGGTGAACGCGGCTAGCGGTTTGCCAGCTTCTTGATATAGACAATCCCTACACTTATAATTATTAAATACATGTAAATTAAATTGATATGTTGCTATCTCGCTCTTGTTCTCAACCTTACTAGTATCCAGCTGCTCTGGCAGTATGATATCTATTAATTATGACTTTGTGATTCTGGCTACAGAGCACGACGGGGACTCCGTTTTGAGACTCACAGTCAAAGTCAAAGTTGGATGCAACATAACAATTATTTGTAACGTAATAACGTTTTAAGTCTTTAAACATGTTGAACTTGGGGTGCAAAAGTGTTCTTATAGATGTGCATGAGGAAAATTTTCAGTCACTTTAAGCTTTAACGAAACAAGTCACAAGAAAAATTCTCTTTTAAAATGGATTGTAAAATACTTGGTTATTTCAAGATATCTGTTAACTTATCTCACATATGTTCTGAATTTGGTCTCTTTAATGCAAGTTACACAATTTGCTAATTGTTTTTAAATTTTAAGCGTTTATATAAATTAATCATAAATGATCCAATATTCACAATAATTGTGTAATTAAACTTGCCATTTTATGTACAGGAATATCATGCCGATATACTGCTTAGATTTGCTTTCAGTTTCAATTCAAACAGTGGGCTCCATTGACGGTATATATTTGCTATTATGCATTATGCAAGCCTAATTGCACATATTAAATACGTTTACAATTTGGCAAAAATCATGTTGTTCTTATTATTCGCGTTATCTAATAGAATGCGCGCCAAAATTCAAATATTTTAATAGATAGTGAGTGTTAACAGAGAGTGAGTTTTAGCAGAAAGTGAGTGTTAACAGAGTGACATCGCACTGTGATCTTTCTCGTTGAAGCTGAAACTAAAAGAAGTGCACTTAAAGCAGTCTACTGTAATTTAACAGTGTGTAAATGATTAACAGTGGGTTCCCCTTTCGGTAAAACTTAACTTAAGAGACCAGCTAACCATTAAACAACACAAAGTTGTGGGAAGCAGTATGTTAAATTGCCAGGCACTTTATAAAATAAATAAAATTAAGTTACATTGTCTCTGTTATCTGTTTAAATAAAATGCAAAATAACAGTGATTCGCGAATACTACTGTGATCGCACTCGTGACCAAGTTAACAGAGCTTATGTTGATATTGGGAAATTTTATTGGGACATTTTACTGTTAAAACTAAAAGTAACAAGAGTACTCAATGCACAAACTCTTCTTTAAGTAAAAGTTATTAACTGTAATATAGAGAATATGTAATATTATTATTTACATCCAATTACCTTTATTTTTTTTATCATGTTTGTAGCTATATTTCATAGCAACAGGAAAAAATTGCATACATACGGTGCGATAAGAAATAGCATTAGGGACTACAATATATCAATGATTCAGTTTACTCGAGTTTAACTAAAGTGCATGGGCTTGCACATAAATTGTTGAATGAAGTGTATTTGTGGAGGGGAAAGCGTGGCGGAGAGACGGTCGTGGAAGCAAAAATAAAGTAATCAAATTAAAATTCGAATAAAAAAACACACACACAACCTTTTTCATACAGAGTAAGGAATCGTTTTATGGACTTATATCAATTCTCAGACTTTTTATCGCCCCAAAAGCAAAACACTGCATAAATGACGAGGCTAACCTGGTCTTGGCCTTGTACTCCCTGGAGTGTCATTTTGATATGTGTCCGTCTGGCCTTGGTCGAGTGCTGGGGTCGCCCCCAGCATCACCAGCAGCAGATTGTGGCAGTAAGTGCGAGAGAATCCAGCGAATCCAGTGAATCCAGCCCTCAACTCAACTCGAGGGTGTTTTCATGGCAATAAATTAGAAAATGAATTCAATTACTTGTCACGAATTTTTGTACCGATTTGCCAAATTGGGATGTTCATTTGTATTTATGTACTTGTATTAAGGTATGTCCTTGTGTAAATTATTTACACATGGAAACAAACTTACTCAAGCAGAGGAGGGAAATAGGAAGCACAATTTTGGACCGCGTTTCAGTAAACGAAAAACATATTGTGCGGAATTTTAAGCATCATTGGAAGGCAGACAACTCATATATCAGATATATTTATCTGATATTACCTTTAACTTTATTTCAATGTTACTAGAAGTACTTTAAAATATTCAGTTGTCTTATAAATGTTAAGCTATGTTACTAAAGGTACTTTGAAGTACAATGTTATCTTAAGTATGTTAACTTATATGACTAAAGGTACTTTAAAGGACCAAGCTATGCCTTATTTATTAATGTATAAATAAATATACTGCAGAAAGTACCTAAATTACAAGCTTCCCTTTTTTTTTTGCTTTTATAGAAAATTGTTTTTAAAAATATTAAAGTCGAATTATCGTAAAATATCCATAAGGAATTTTAAATATATTTTTTTTTTTTTTTTTAAATTATTTTTACTAAGTTGACGGGTAGGCAGAACCTTATTATTATTATTATTTGTTTAATTTATGTGAATAATTTATGTGAACGCTCGGATTACAATTTTTTCTTTTTTCTTTCTTTTTTTTGTTATCATATACAAATGATTTCGATTAATCTATATTGAGTCCTGTGATAATATGTCTAAAGCCTTTGAAGCTCTTATTAGTTTAGCCATTCACAAAGCGAAAAGAATATATTGGTTTGACAGAGTCTGCATTTGTCCACATGAAAGTAAAGAATTTCGGTGCTAATAATACTAGAAGTTTACCTACAGGTCGGAACTATATATTGAACAACTTATGATTAGAGCAAGCATTTAGAATCTGAAATATATACACACATATTATTACCATTGGCCTAAGGATTACTGTTGACATCTCTATATGTCAAATAAAAAGACGTGATGAATTAGGAAAAATCTTAATGAGGTCATCCACTGATGGAGTTATAAATTATTTGACCTGTCACTTGGAGTTTTTTTGTACTGTGAAGATGAATTTTGCCGTCGGTTGCCTGACTAAAATGTTCTTCATTGTTTATATTGAATATTTTTTATGTGTTAAAATAATAATAAAATGTTATTTACAAAAGCTACAGGTTTCTTATTTTGTTAAATAATTTTAAAGTTTTTATTTATTATGTAATTATTTAACAAATATATATAATATTAATATATATAATTATATAAAATATTAATATATAATAATTATATATTAATATTTAACTTTATTTACTATATACATAAGTGCAATTGTTTATATAAAGTTCAAAAAGAATTTTTAAAAATTCTTATTAATTGTTAGATAAAAGAAATAAATTGTAACGCATTGATTATATTGAAATTTTAGCTGACAATACTGAATATTTACCTATCTAAAGTTTGTTTAATTTCTCATTCAAAATATTTGCAATATTTCAGGGATTTTATTGAGCAGTCGAAGTCCGCCGGTGTCGACGCCGCTTGAGCCGTGTCGTGTTGCACCTTATGTTAACTTGGCGAATATCCGAAATACAAACACGGCGATGATTCCCTCAACCAATGGACTATGTAGTGTACAGCAGCAAGCAGGAAAGAACGCCGTCAACATAATTAATAAACGGCCTCCATCTCCGATATCCGTTGTAACGGCTGCAGCCGAACATTTTTCAGGCAGCGTTGCAGCAGCGGCTGCATTTTCCGCCTTCGATCCAGCTATACTCTCAGCTGCCGCTCATCAGGTGAATTGAGCATACGCGTAATTATATGTCTTTTTCATATATTTCAATATATTTTTAGTATGCGGCCGCAATAAGTAATAGGAGTAGACCCGCTGGACTTTTTCCATTGCCGCAATATCCGCTTCACTTGGCCGCCTTTGCTGCAGCACACAAGAATTCTAGCATAGCGGATTTACGTATGAAAGCGAAAAAGCACTCGGAATCATTGGGGCTTGAAGCAGATATAGTTATTTAGTACATAATTTACGTATTTTAATTAGGTTTAGATTAGTATAGAGTTGTCTATTTTAAGACAATTACTATTTACATATAAATATTGATATTTGAAAGAAAAATTACAATAATTATATTTAACACTATTAACATATATTTACTATCTATATGTTTCAATAAATAAATGCTTAGTTGTCTTGTTTTTTAAATTGTTTAATGTGTTCAATTCGATTCAACTCAAAAAGTATAACAAAAATACCAGCATTTCATCAATATAACAAAATAATACCAAATAACAACTGTATTCATAAAATACTTTTTTAACAGAAAACCGTTCGTTATCGTGAGGAGCAGTCGTAACTTATACGAATTTTCTGTAATGCCTCGAAGCTTTCGAAGAAAATAAACAAACTTAAACATAGAACTTTAATAACAACAAAATAAAGCAAATAATTATTAATCTACCCACCAGTTTAAGAAAAAATTCAAATTACCAAACAAAACAAATTAAAAACAAAACGCATAATATCTAATGTTAGGCATTTTTAAATCGTATTTAAATTTTGCGGACTACCCCGACCTGCATATTTGAGCGATGGCTTAGATGAATTGGTATTTTTTCTGGCAAATATTTTCGTAGCTAAATCGTACATCAGTATTTCAGTTTCGGAGGATACGGTCGCACTGCAACTTTCGCAGCGAAATTTTTTTATTTTTATTTAATATTTCTTTTCTTTGAAATAAAGTTATTTAATTTAAAATACAATATCAATTCAATTAACAACCGTAAACGTCAACAACTGAATAAAGAAAAATTACAATGAACGGGAAGTGATAAAATCGAGCCAACAGGCCGCCTAATCGGCCACCAAGATCCGATCTCCACCTAAAGTAATGAAACGAACATAGAGTGAAAATAAAGAAGTGACGTTTGCAGTGTCTAAAATCTGAAGGTTGTTTTTTACGTATTTTTTATATTTGTGATTTCTAATTTATTTTTCGAGATGATTTTCATCAACATATGTTATCTGTGTATGTGTGTGTGTGTGGGCAATGCAAATACATTTTTTTCTTTCGGAGTTTGACCTTTAATCTATTTTATGTCCTGACTGTTGTTGGATTACAATTATAAAATATATAAAAACAACAGTAAAAGGTAAACTTGCCAGTTGCGCATTCGCATCCTCAACGTTAAATGAAGCACAGGGGCTGAAATGGGGTGTAGTCGTTCGCTTTCATTCATTTGTTGCGTTTGCGTATGCGGCTGTGTGTGTGTTCCAACATACATACATACATGTACAAGAGAACGCATATTCATATATACATACACACATTAACACATACATATATGTATGTCCATATGTTTTATTCCATAACGCTCACTCCAATTGGCAAAATTTCCTGATGTTTGTCTCCGTCTCTCTTACTCTCTCTCATATTTTTCCCTTTTTCTATAATACGTCAACTTTTTCTCTTCGATTGGGAATGCACGAAGTGCGTTTAATTTACACTTTCTGCTTGGCTGACTCAATTAATTCTTTTAGTTTGTTAGTTAGTTACTGTCGCCGCTCTCCCACTTTTTGTGCTTACTTATGAGATACACCGTGCATTCAATTTGCGCAACAATAACAACAACAAAAGTTAGCGATATTAGAGTCATTAGCCTTTTAAAAGCTTAACTAGCTTTATAGCTAGTTTAAAGCTTCTGCTACTCTATTAAGTCTTCATTCCGCCTTGTCTTAAGCTTTTTATTGCCCGTTGCAACCGGAAATTTAATTGTTTTATAATTTTAATATATTATACAGAAATAAAATTTGACAAAAATACTTTTCCATCCACAAGCTAAAATTAATTATTAAAATGATAAATATTAATATAAAATAATATAATTAAATAAATATAAATGTAGTATAGAAATTAGGTGGACAGGATAATGAGGATCAGTACGCATTGAAATCAAAAAAAGAAATATTTTACGCTATAGATTTTAAAATCGCATCTCGAAATCTGGTTTAACATTTGCAATTTATTGTTTTAGCTTAACTTCATATTATTGCATATTGGAAGAAAAAAATGATTATGATATCGTGATGGCGAAAATGGCATCTGGTGACCTTTCGTTGACCAGCACAAGCAGTCAAGAGGGTGAGTTTAAAGCACAGCGCAGAGGCGTCAATTGTACAAGATTATTTTAAAAAATTCGTTCATCCTTTTATTATAATTGCAGAAGAAAGTTCGGAATATGTGGGCTATGATAATACATTGCGCCCGCCTTCGAACTCGAGTGGTAGCACAACGGCCGCCAATATGGCCAACAACAATGGACCAACAAAGGTGGTCAACAGTGTAGGAGGCGGTGGGGGAGTTGGTGGCAATGGAAAGAAATATGAACTACTGCAATCACAGTACGAGTCGGCGATGTGTGACCTCACCACGCTTCGACATCAGCATTCAAACTCGGAGCGACGTTGTGATGAGCTCGCGACGCAACTAAATCTGTATCAAGAGCACTACATGGCCGATCGAAACAAGTATACGGACATTGTGGCTGAGAGCGCGCGCCTAAAACATAAATTGATGTTGCTTGAGAATCAAAATCAAAACAACGGAAATCCTTCAGCTGCGCAGCCATCGACTCCCGGCAATAATGCGTTTTACTATGGTAAAATGCAAACGCCTTGCGATGGCAGTTGTAACAGCAGCGAGAAGTTAGCAGAAATGAAGAAGGAACGCAATTTGATAGCTATGGAACGTGAGAAATACAAGAAATCCTACATTGAATTGGAAAAGGAGCGAAACTTTTATCGTGAACGTGGCGACGAGAATCAAACCTTAAAAGTTCTCTTGTCTAAGGAGACAAAACACGTAGTTTCCCTGACAGAGGAACTAAATCAGCTGCTCTCTGAGAAAGATAATGTGTTGCAGGAGCATCAAAAAATGTCGGACGACCTGGCGTTGGCCAACAAGGAAATCGATCGTCTCAAAAAAGATGAGCTTGTATACAAGTCCGAATTGAAATCGCTACAATTAGCAAATGCCGAGCACAAGAAACGCGATCTGCTCAAATCGCGCGAAAGCAGTTGGTCTAAGGAGTTCAGCAACGACAGCAAAGAGGAGTTGGAAAAGCTACGCAAGAGCCTTGACAAGGCTCAATCTGAAGTGGAGCGCGCATTGCAAGACGCCGAAGAGGCGAAGCGTGTGCGAGACTGGGCAATCTCACAGCGTGAGAAAATCGTACAGGAGCGTGACTCGGTGAAGACGCTCTGTGACAATTTGCGCAAGGAACGTGACAAGGCGATATCCGACTTGTTAATGGCCATACGCGACAGTGAGAAAATTAAGAAGCAAAAGGATGAGGCACAGAAGAAAATTGATGCGCTCAAGGAGCAGCTGGAGAGTCAGACAATATCGACAACAGCAACGCCCTTCGACACTGCATCGCGTCGTAGCTTTCGCTTGAGCAGCTATGAAAGCGGCGAAGATCTCCTGGAAATTGAATTGTGCAACTACCATGACTCAGATCTGGGCATTATCCTTGATGACAGCAACAAGCGTCAGCTGGTTTGCGGGGTCACCAACAGCTCGTCAGCGTTTGGCAAACTCAAAATTAACGATGTTATTTGCAAGGTGAACAATCTGGAATGTCAGGGACTGTCTAAACGCATGGTCCTCGACGAGATACGTGCTTGTGCGCCACGCTGCCTCTTGCTCGTTTCCCGCACTCGTCACAGCAAAAGACACTCGTATGCCGTGCAACTCAAGACAAATAGCCGCGATGCCATCGGACTGCAGCTGGATATGGGCGTTTTTATAGCAAAGATAGAGCCCAATTCGCTGGCCTTCTACGAGCCGGAGCTGGACGTGGGGGATCGCGTGCTGAGTATTAACAACAAATCAATGGATTCATTGCAGTCCATCGATGAGGTGATGCAGCTGCTTAACACTGATACTGTGAACATATTTGCTTTGAAGTATGTGCCTGAACAGCAGTCGGATTCCCATTGTCGCATGACCAGTTCATCAGCGCAAACCGATAGCTCCATTGATTCCATGCAACAGTTGAATAGTAGCAGCGGTGTTGCTAGCGGCAGCAGTAGCGCTGCTAAACATCCGTCCAAATTTGCGGACTTTCTCCGTAAACTGAAGTTCAGTAAACCGGGTACGGCCGATGACAGCTTCGAGCAGGAGCACGATGTTGCTATTGCGGCGCTAGATTCGGTGCTAAGCGAAAATAGCTCAGAGAAGAGCAAAGAGAATCTCTTCAAGCGTCACAAGCGCGGCAAAAAGGGAGAAAAGGAGGCTAAAAGTATGGGTACTTGGCCTCGCACTAATATCTCACACGACAATCCAACAGGCACCATAGTCCAACGTGGTGGCGAAAAGAAACGTGCGCTTATGTCGCTCTTCACTGCCGGTCCCATCAATGTGGATAAGGACGATGATGTTGTTGAGCAGGTTGAGCCAAAGCCACAAATGCAACTTCAGGAGCTGCCGCCGCCGCCGCTGCCTCCGCAGTTGTCTAAGCCGCGTAATATTAATGGTGGCGCGATCAAAACACATCCCAATCGCAATTCAAACCCTGTTAGCAATGTGGCCTCTACACTCTTCCAGCCCGGCAATGTCGGCGTAACCTATCCGCGTCACTCATTGTATGGGGGTGTCGTCACCGCATCGACTGAGGACAAGCAACTAATGCAGCGACCCGCACCGCTAATGGGTGCAAATGCACGCGTTAAGCTACACGGGCAAGAACGTTCCATCCGTTCACACAACCCCCATCGTTTTTCACTGAATATACCACCCAGTGGTGGTGATTTCTATCAGCCGAAAACCAGCGGTCAACAGGCACAGCAGCAGGTCGTCCCAGCAGTTGCTGCTGGTGAGTTTCCAACTCGCAAGCAACAAATGTTTGATATGTTCCAGCAGCCAGCGCCACCTCTTCCCCTGCCACTGCCTAAAGTGAACACCACATTTATGCCGCTCCATCCGCCGCCTCGTGTTTCTGGCGGCAGCGGCTCGGCTGGCTCTAGTTCGGGCGGACCAGTGGATATTATATCGCTCAAGTCACAAAACTCTATTGAGTCCATGCTGTCGGCTAAGAGTCCACCAATAAGTGAGTGCAGTGTCTACAGGAAACGAAATGTGCCGCCGATGCCACCAAAGCACGTGCCCAAATATCCCAGCGACAGTGAGAGCATTGGCTCTGGCATTTTGGTCACAGGAGGGCACAATTACTTGCCGCCGCATCAGGCCCACTTGGGGACAGTGGGCAATCGGCATACGCAACTCTTTCCCAGTTTTCAGCCCAGCAGTCATGGTGCACGTTACATGCGCCGCTCCAGTCCCTTAACGTTGCCCTCACCGCCGCCGCCAACCATGGCATCGATACCGCAGGCGCCGCAGGCGGCACAGCTAGAAAATACTAGTAATAACAGCACCATTGGCATACCCACTGATCTGGATTTTGTGGCAGGTCAGCACACGCAGCAGCATCCACATACACATCAGCACAGCCAGCACCCGCCGTATATCGACTATAGTCAACCGCAGACAAATTATCCGTATAGTCTCGCTGGCGTAGTGGGGTCGGGGAATGGTGTTATTTATGAAGGCGGAACCTTTCCGCGAAAAAAAGACAATCAACGCCTACGCATTCCGTCGAATCCCAGCGTGGCCAGCAACAGACAGAACAGCAGCAGCCTGGTCAAGAACAGCTCCGGATCCATTGATCATCACTATGGTACCAGCAGCAACGCCGGTGTGCCCGTTTCGTTAATGAACTCAGCGCTGCACACGAACTATGCCGCCAATGTGAATAGCATTAATGGAGGTGGGGGTGGCGGTGGCGGCGGAGGCAGTGGAAGGGGCTCGCCGATGCCTCAGGTACATGTGGAGGTACTAAGCCATGGCGGGCCAAGTGGCAGTGGCAAACGCAATTCGAATGTTGCCACGGATTTTTTATGCCCTGGAGACCTTAGAAGAGTCACGATCGATAAGCGCGATAAGTCGCTAGGTATTACCATACAGTGCAACAAAAATGCCGGTGGTATTTTTGTATCAACAGTTGCCGACAAGAGTACCGCAATGCGTGCCGGTCTTCAGGTGGGCGATCAACTCTTGGAAGTATGTGGCATCAATATGCGTGCAGCTACTAATGAAATAGCAGCAAATGTGCTGAGACAGTGCGGTGATTCCTTTACAATGCTGGTGCAGTATAATCCAGAGAGTAAGTAAATATCAAATGCCAGCATTAGTTTATCTATTGTTATTAATTATCTATTTCTCCTGTAGAGTTTCACACAACTGAGTACGAAGGCATACACAATTTGGAACCAGAATCTCCTCTTAATCATTCAGGCTCGCCAACTCCTAGAAATTCTCCGCGGCCGCCGGCTCGTAGTGTGCAAACGACATTGCCGATGCAGCCGCTGTCTTTGCTTCCGTCCGCGGTATCCGTTACACGTGCGCCGCTCTCTCATCAATCCATTAAGGATCAGAGTTTTACAGACAGCTTGGAAAATCAGTCGGACATTAGCAGTAGCCAAGATATGCCGTCATCGGCGGCCACAACAACCACGACAACCGCATCGGCTACTTCAACCGTTTACGACGAGGATACTAAGCTCAGTCTGACCTCAGCTCCGACATCAGTGTCGACAGAAGGTTAGTTAATAGTCAATTAAAATATTCGAACTGTACTTAACTGTTGAAAGTGAACTGTCTTAACAGTTATTGGCCATAGAACTTAGATATTTCAGCTTCGTTGACCAACTTTAATGTATATATGAACATTTGTATCATTATATTCAGCTCTGCGTTTTGTGACGCTACACATGGATAAGTCTAAGAATCTGGGCATTAAACTTTTTGGTGGCAACAAAGTAGGAATCTATGTGCACGATGTGGCACCCGGTTCCCCATCAGATCACGCCGGTATACGTAAGGGGGACCTCATATTGGAGTACAATGGGGTCGATTTAAGCGGAGTTACTGCCGAACAGGCTGCGAATGAGATCTCGAAGCTTACGGACACTGTTACAATGCTCGTGCAGAACAAATTGCAAAGTAAGTTGCCTTTTGCCAAGCAAACTCTGCAATTTTCATAAATGATTTCCTTTTATTTGAAGCACTCAAGCAAATCAAGGATAAACCAGGCGATTCGTTCTATATACGAGTGGGGTTTGATCGCATTGGGGAACTTAATGAGGAGGATTTGCGTTTTATAAAGGATGAGGTGCTTTATGTGGATAATACGGTTTTCAATGGAACGTTCGGTCTATGGCGCGCATGGAAATTAGATGCAATGGGGCATCGCAAGGAATGCGGCGTTATTCCCAGTCAAATGAAGTAAGTAGTGTATTAAACTGTTCGAGTCATTTATTAACTTTTTCCTTTCCTCTGTGAAGGGTGGAGGAGGAGTTGCGTTCGGGCGAAGTAGTGGATTGTGATACAGGCACTGCGCGACGCGGCAGCACGTCAGCACGTCGATCTTTTTTTCGTCGCAAAAAAAACCAGCGAAGCTCTTCGCGCGACTCAACGGAGATAGCAAGTTTTAGCAACACACAGCTTAGTTTTTTTCCTGACTCAGGCATTCTAAATGATGATGGTGGCGTCCTTAGCTATCAGCGGGTAGAGCTTCTAGACTGTACGTCAACTGTCTTGTTAATGCTTGTTTATTTATTTAATGAATTGTATTTCGAATACAGCACCAATACGTCGACCAGTGCTAATCATTGGACCACTGTCGGAGTGCTTGATAGATCGTTTGAAGATCGACTTTTCAAATTTGTTTAAATTGTGCGAAGTAACGACAATGGACTGTTCACAGGAAGCGATGGAGGAGGGTCTCAAGGAGAATATATTCGTAGACTATCGTCGACGTGGCAATAAATTCGAATGCACCACCGTGGAAGCTATCAGTAATGCGTGCAAAATTGTAAGTATTTAGTCAACGGAAGTTAAAAAAATATACAAAAAATCTTTTAAAGGATCGGCGCCATTGCATTTTGGATGTGTCGATCTCAGCGGTGGAGCGTCTGCAACGCTTGCAAATTTATCCGATTGTTTTGTTGCTACGCTTTAAGTCGGCCAAACAAATTCGCGATATCCGGGACTTTGGCACCGACAAAATATCAGCCAAGGCAGCTAAGGAGATGTACGAACGGGCATTGAAATTGGAGTTTGACTACAAACAGTATATATCCGGTGAGTTATTGTTCTTAAACTGCAACGGCTATCTAAGAGACATTCAAAGCTACCTTGGCTATTATACTAATATTTTATTATATTTATTTAGCCGTAATTCCTGGAGTCAGCATTAAACACATGTGCACACAGATCAAGGATGCTGTTGATAAGGAACAGGACAAACTTCTCTGGGTCCCTATTACAAATGGCTAGCACAACTTACCGAGTTGTAAAGTTTTCTAAGATTTAAGTATATGCATATATATATATGATGATAGTATTGGAGTGCGTATTAATATTATACAAAATTTTTGTATTCGTTTCGCTCAACATAGAGTATTCAATGTCGTCTATGCTAAACGCATATTTTGCCCACATATTACGTTTGCATTAAGGGCGCCGTATTTCTGTATGTTTTTCCATGTCTGATCTAGTTTATGTAACTCTTAAATACTTGTGAAATAATTGTTGTTTGTCTGGACGAGAGTTTTAAAAATTCTCACTGTAAGGTTTTGAATCAAATTTTGTTTAAACCTTACTCAACTATTTCTATTGTTTAAATTATAAATATGCATATTATATTTAATTGTGTGGCAATCGAAAAATTGACTTTGTATTATTTTAACTATGAAGTCTTACTTAATCCAAATACTTTTCTTGCAATATAAAAAACTTTCCAAATTCACAATGGGCCTTAAAAGAAAACGAAAAGAAATCAAGTAACAATATAATTAGTTGTAATTATTCAGATTTAAATTCTTTATTCGATGAACAAAGTGGATATTGATAAAATGCTATTACTATTATTAAATCACTTAAAATGTAATTGTAAAAAACTGATACAGAAAATGCCTTTAGCGAAAATTAAATGCTACATAATTCAAATATACCTAAACAAGTATATTATATAAACGTATTAAATACATTATAAACGATTTTATTCATAATATACTTACATATTTGCGTAAGAATGTTATTACGCGTATATCTATTTTTGCAATAAATATTTTTTCAAAATTGTCTATTTTGTTTGCTTTATTTACAGTTGAAAATATATTTATTTATATATTATGGCCACACTTATAATAAAATGCAATACTATTAAACGAGCGATGCGCTTTCGTTTAATAAATATTTCTAGGTACACTTGCTCTGTAAATGTTCGCTGGGAAAGACATTATGTAGACTATATATACAATAACATAATGACTTGCTTAGATTAAACATAATTCATATTCAATGATTAAAGAGACAACTATTTTAGATACTTAAATCATAACGAGATTTAGCGTAAGTTAGTTACAGCTTCATTTATTTCAACTAGCGTGTGAAGAAGTCACATCTTTCAGTTATATCTGGGGTTACACTACTGTACATTTAGAGGGACTAGGTTGAAAAGCAATATACTCAGTCGAAGACATTATTCTGATGGGCAATTCGATAGGATTGCAATTCTGAAGGAATCAACGTATCGTATCTAACCCTCAAAGAAATCGTATTCTTCGCGTGGCCGATACCATTGATCGGTAGCATGCTCATAGATGGCTCGCTGGACCTCGGTCTCGGCAGCATCAATTGGATCTAGCTGAGGCTGAGGCAGTGCCTGTGACTGTGACTGAGACTGCGTTGCATCGAAGCTGCTATCGGATCGAGGACTGCGCGAGGTGGCACGAAAATCCATTGGTATATTATAGCACTTGCATATGCAGCTGGAGGGGAAGCGAAACCAGTCAGAGAAGATGCCGCGGCACTCGTTGTGTGGGTCGTAGGCCAGCAGACGATGTAGTCGGTACTGTTGCTCGCAGCGACAGCCGTCACGGCAAAACATCTGCTTGAACTCTTGGGTGCATTTCTCCCAGTGTACGTACTGCTCAAAGGGGTACAGATTTAGCAGAGCCAGAACCTCGCCGCGTGTGTTATTCGCCCAAAACGGAGCAACCACCTCGTCCTTGACAGGACACGCATTGCTGTAAAAGAGTTAAACATTAATAACGAAACGTTGACTGGGAAATTATGATCGATAACAGTAATCGATCGCACTTACACTCCACGCATGTTGCTCGTGACAGCCATCGGTTCCTGCTTCATGGCATCCTGAAACAGCTGGCCTCCCTCTCGCAGAAGTCCAGATTTTGTAGAGCTAGTAGGTGTCGATGTTGTACTACTTCCCGTCACTGGCTTGCGCTGCTTGTCCGAAATCAAAGACGTGAATGTGGGCGAGAAGAGCGATGCAAAGTTGGCGGGTGTTGTAGCTCCTAATATCGTTTTAGTTACATTTCTGCGTGGGATTAAGCTGGTGCTGTTGCTGTTGCTGTTGCTGTTGTGGTTGCTGCTGAGTGTTGCAGTCGTTGCTGACGCTATTGGAGTCGGTGTTGCTGACGTCGTCTTCATTTGTGTTGTTGTGCTGTTAGCAGATGCAGCTCCCATAGACGAACTTGTCGTTGTTGCACTTTCATTAACTTTTTGCTTATGACTGGGCATCGCTGTCGCAGTTACTTTTAAAGCTGTGGCAGGTGTCACAGGTAGAGGGTTGATGCTAAAATTGCGTAGGCCCTGATCGACTTCCAACTGTAAGTTGTCAATATTATTCATGCTGTCATGTGTAAGTTCTTCTGGGATCGTTTGTTCTGGCCGCGCTGTAGTTGTCGTGGTTGCACTTGCTCCAGTGGTGTTGGCCAGCTCGTAGACACTGTTCGATTCGACACTGGGCTGCTCATCACCCAGAGGCACAACTGCAGCTACTGTCGGTTCAGTCGAGGAGAAACTTGTTGTGGTTGGTGTCGATGGGGTCGTCGCTGTCGTTGTTGTCGTCGGACTGACTGTGGACACTGGCCGGAAATGTGGCTCCATAAGCACATCGTTGCCCTTGTAGTTGCTGAACTCATCTCGATCCGTATCTCTGCCATGCAACATATATTTGGCCCCACGCGGCATCTTGGAGTAGCGCTGGGCTGCCTCGTCCATGCTGTCCATATCGACCACCTCATTATTCTGAATCTCATCACGTAATATGGAAATGTGCCGTACATCCCCATACATGCGCTTCATCAGACCCTGATTCTCGTGCACAAACCGGCGGACGGCATGCCACGGATAAATTGAGCCCGGCAGATGACAGAACGGTTGTTTGGCCAAGTCGCATGGTATTGCCGCAAGCATCTGGGCACGCCCACGCCGCGATACCTTACTGTTCGGGCTGCAAGAATTGGCCGAGTCAAATCCAAAGCTGTTGCTACTATGCGAGGGGCTCACAATACTTATGAGCAGCAGCAGCAGCAGAACATCGCACTGCAAGTGACAGTGAAACAAGAATGTTATTATTACTTATGTTCAGTCGTTCCCCAACCAAATTTGTCAAGCCCCAAAGACTTTACAATTAATGGTCTGCATGCTGAGTAGGTAAACAGTGATTCAACTGGTGATCATTACGATCCTAACTCTAATACTGTGGAGAATACGGGCTTTTCCTGATTGCTCATGCTCACAGCTCGATCTATCAAGTTCCATCAACAATAATTCACGTCATAAATTTTTTATATAAGAGATATCTAACCTTGATATAATTATATCAGACTCCGATTGGTACATATAGTTTTCCGAAAAACATTAGGACTAATACTTGACGAAATAGCTGCATCGATCTATAGAAGATATCAATTAGCAACTCTTACTCTCCAACTGTATATACTATTTGTAAGACTATAAAAGAATCAGATTTTCACGATTTAAGCTTATGCATTCTTTTCACGCCGTAAACCTAAGAAATATTCAGTCTTAAATTTTAAGAAACTAAACTTTTTAATATTCCATTATTTTAACTTTTTTTTTGTTTTGAGCCAATGCACTTAGCTGGCTCTCACTCTGGCAAACAATTCATGGTTAACATGACGAAAAACTTAAAAGCGGAACGAACAAAACAAGCTTCTCTGCCTCTGTCTTTCTGTCTTTCTCTTTGGCTCAGTCTCATCAAATTTTACTTTCACGCAGTCATAAGACGATGATCGATGTGCATTTGCATTTGCATATGCGGGCAGCCTGCAGTGGCCAAGCATAGAGAATGCCTGCAATTACCTTGATTTACAGATGGTGGACGGTCAGTAAGCGAAGTGGAGAAAGAGACAGAGTGAGATGGAAAAAGAAAAAGAGAGCGCAATTAACAATCAAGTAAAAGTAAAAAATCATCTTCGTCTACAGCCAACCAATTGATCCCTTTCAACTTTCCCTTTCCCTTTCAGGAGCACATGCCGAACTATATTTAACATTTCTGATCAACTATTGCTCAGGTGTTGAGCTCAATCTTAAACTGGTTTGTCGCCTGGCACCGTATATTTGTTATCCAGTTAGTTTTACTTAAACTGACTCGCATGAATCACCTCTATTGCGTTTGCCGAATAGAAAGTGTCATATGTTGCCCAAAAATTTTAACACGTAAATATGTCTGTGCAACGCTTTTATCAACTGGTTAGGTAATGTTGAACCAATATGGACTTACTTAATCGTTATTGCCGCTTGCAACTACATTTATTTAAATAATTATGAGACAACTTAAAAAATAAAAATAAAATAAAATAATAAAAATAATAAAAAAAATAAAAAAAAATAATAATAATAAAAAACACCTAAAAAATATATAAACTTAAAAAAACACTTAACATTATAAACAATTAAAATTGATTCACCTGAAAAATGTTTATCTTTATGCTTAATATTTATATTTCATCAATTTCAGAATTTGGCGTAGTCATAACAAAAGACTTAAGGAACAAACTCGTTTTGAAACTAATTTTAAGTACAGCAGTGAATTGGGTCAAAGCCTCTGAGCAGAAATGGAAAGCAAAAGCAAAAATTGCTTTCGCTAGAGGTTTATATTTATATACATAAATCTAAGCGATTGAATTTAACTCTCTTACAAAAATCATTGTCAAATGGCCAAGAAAGTCGAGAAAAAGTCATATGAAAATTGGAGCAATAGTCAGGTGAACAGCTGGGCAGCTGTCAGCGTAGTCTAACAAATCAATATGTTCAATTGGCCATTAAGTCAAGTCGCATTGAGGAAGACATTTGTCACTCCATGACTCGATTGCAGCTACTTTAATGTGTCAGTGCGATTAGGATTGCGACTTTCTAAGAAGACGCTGCCAAAGGCAGCCTCCATCAGCACGCTGACCGCCTGATAGATGGCTGGCTAGATGGAGAGTCCAGCTGAGCTAGTAGAGAAGTCGAAAGACGTTTGCCGTTTATGTCTTCATTTCCCAAAGTTGTTGTTGCCAACATACAAACATACAAACATACATTGCAGTATATACTGCGGCTAAGAATGAATTATTTATCAATTCAGAATGCCAACTGCAAATGAAGTTGATGTTACATTTAACCAAATTTGGTTTCGGTTATTGCCGTTTCTGTGCTTACTAATTGCCATTTGCCAGCGATCAAGTGAACGCAGCATCAGCAGCATCTGGTGAAACTCGAAGCTAACCAAAAACTAAGGCCTCTTCAAGCCTTCTTTAATTTCCAAATGCTAATTAAAAATGCTACGCCAATTCGAACGCTTTATCTGTATCTATAATAATAGCTATTGCTAAATCGAAATGTCATAAATTTCACTTAACTGCCTAACCGGAAAAGCAGGCCATTATCAAAACAGTTTGTATTCAAATTTGGTAATAGTCTATTTCATTTGTTTTCTTCTTGCTGTTTTGGTACGTTCAAAATTCAAATGACGTACAAAAAATTCATATACTGCCTAACTAAGAAATCGCCCCAAACCGTCAACGCTCGAAGAAAGTGAAATTTTGTTGATTTTTTTTGTTGTTTTTTTGTTTTTTTGATTTTCATGTCTCCCAACCGGTAACGCAATAAACGAAACCACAAAGGCAGCAGCAGTTTTTTCATTTTGGTGTGTAATGCTTTTTAATACTCTGACCCTATTGAAATTTAATAAAAAGGGTGTACGGTTTTTCAGTTGATGTAGACCTGTCCATCAGATCATCTGTCCATTTACCAAAACTCAAACGTAAATACTGACGAATCTATTTACCCTACGCTTTAAAAGGTAGTGATCCTTTTCCTAAAACTCGATACAAACCCAAATTGTCATTTCGACTTGGTTTATCAAGAGTTGCTGGAAGGACATAAAACCTCAAGGCACACTTGCTCTAAACATATGCATATTTATACAGATTATAAATATTTTTGATTTTAAATATAGTTCATTATCCATCAAAAATTAAAAACAAAAAATACATTTTTAAGACCCTTTCATTAAGACCGTCCGCCAAAATCTCAAATTATTCATTCATTTATTTTCCGCACTGTGAAACTGGGCATGAGCAAGCGCTGCTATTGCACGTTCCTAATTATTTAATTTGAATTTGCATTGAGAGTATCTCCTAGTCGAGCACACTCGACAATACTTTACTTGTTTTATGTATTCATATTTATAAGCAATATTATATTCCTAACTAAAAATAAAATTAAACAGTCATATCCATGTACATACATCAAAGACAATTACAAACTATGAATGAAACTTCTATTCGAGCTATCAGCTGATCAATATTAACTTCCCAAAGTCTGATCTCTACGCTAAACATGATATGGATGTGTCTGGTTACTCATTAATTAATATTTACCGTTATTAGTTTTGTAACTTGCAATCCTTTATCCATTTTCGTAACATCCATTGCTTACTTTCACTCTATTTCACGCACTTCACGCACAATCAACGGCTTTTTGAAATTGCTTTAAAGGATTTTCGCAAAGGTTATACACTTGCCTTCGTTTTTAGGGCCTGGGCCCAATAGGTTCGCGGCTTGGATTTATCGCCAGTGTGCAGAGTCACAGGATTTTAGCACACGCACTCGTATATAGCTTTCGATTTGGCTCGAGATTTGTGTGAACATAATTAATATTCGTAATATTCATAACTAAATTAGTTATTTTCAGTCACTCTCGTATGTATTGTTTTTTTACTTCAGCTTTCAGCGACTTTTTCAGCTATCTGTCCCGCTGGATTAACAGGCGCGCATAAACCTCAGAGCGCTTTGATAGCTGAAGCTTAAAACCAAATCACGTTTACACGCTTCGCACTCACGTTTGCAACTGCGCCAAGAGCTAAGGCGAAAGAGCCATCGCAAAGCGGAGTCGGCAAATGACGACGGCGACGGCGGCATCGGCAGTGCCGACCCCGCCACCCGTAAAATCGGAACCCGACTCACGACAGAGCCAGAGAGACGGCCAAACCGCGACGCAAGCGAAAACGCTTTCTATACCCTAAGCGTATCAACTCAAAATGGGCATAATAAAGCTGTAACAAAAACTGGCAAACCAGATCATCTACTTAAGCGGTAATATTATTTGTCATAATTCTTATTTATTTTTTAACTTTAAAGACATGTATAAGCACACCCAGCAATGACTGTTATGTAAGTCAGAGTTTTAAGCGGTAGTTTTAAGTCACTGTACATTTCACTATTACAGGGTGTAGTTCGGCTCATACTATTGAAAACATTGTTGTTATTTTTACAGCTTTGTATGGTTCTTTTGCGACTGCAGGAAAACTTTTTCTTATTTATTATTCGAAACGTTAGCGTCGGGCGGGCGCAGCAAAACACAACAAACATTGAAAAACAAGCGAGCGGAGCAGCAGCAACGCAAAAAAAAATAAAATAACAACAACAAGCCACAGGCACACAAAGAGCCACACGCAATGACAAAGCTACGACACGACGAGAGAGCAAAGCGCAAACCCCGAAGTTACACAGATGGTCGACTCCGAGACGAAACGAAGGCACGACCGACCGACCGACCGACCGACCAATTGCTACCGCGGCTTACGCCGGCTTTGCTGTTATTTGTTGTTGTTGCTGTTAGTTTTGAGTGTTGATGGTACTGGTAGTGGTGCTGGTGCCGAGCTTTGCCGAGTAACGAAGACGATGACGCTGCTTAGTAGGTCAGTAGTGGCCTTTAACTTTGTTGGTGCTGGTGCTGCTTGTTGTTGTTGCTGTTAATATTGTTATTGCTATATTTTGTTGCGTTGCATGTTTGTTACTATTCAAATACAAAGCTTGCCGGTCTTACAGCTGCTAAAAACTGTTGATGTTGTTAGTTGTTTTAAGATATTCACATGATCTGCCGTGAAAATAATTTTATTCAAGCAAGTTGCGTGTTAATTTAATGTGCACACGTAAGATAGCTATCTTCGATTATCTTGTCTCACTAAAACAGAAATTAATGTACTACAAACTAAGATATAATCGCATTTTTGTCTGTATTCAATTCCAATATTGATTAACTTTAACAACCATATTCAAAATCTCGTGCGATTAATATTGTTTAATTTATCCTCGTGAGGAAACACGACGTTTGCATATACACACCACTAAAAGTAAAAAGAAGTAAAGTGCATATTAAAGTCAGTTAGGCCTAGGAGGAAAGAGCGGAATAGAAGGCAGACAGATGAAGAGAGAGTGTGACATAGCAAATTAGAGTAAGAGTATGACCAGAGATAAGTTTCCTAGATTACTATAATCGGAAAGATAGAAATAAAATTCGATAAAGAAAGAGAGAGGAAAGGAGAGAGCGAGAGTGATAAATGGTCAACTAGAGTAAGAGGAAATTCAATGCATTTGCTAAGCTTTATAATTAAATCAGCAATCACAAAAAATCACAATAACAACTATTATTATTAAACAATAATTTTAAGGGTTTCCCTCTAGTGTCTTTATTTACACATATATTAAGTAAAATTTCAAAATCAACTTTATTTTTTCCATTAATAATTTCCACTGAACAAGCATCTGTACATATAAAAAGAGTAACTTACTGTCGAGCTTAATAATTGTTTCTATATTTTTCTCTTCACACAATGATTTCACATTTACTTCACACACACACGCACCTTCAGCGTGTATATGCGAATGTATTTGTTTGTGTACCCACACTTCATTATATTTGGAGTAAAGTGAAAGTGTAGAAATAAAGACACGGCTTAGCCACCTTTCAAAAGTATAATCAACAAAATTATAAAATGTATTTTTATTTAATGCTGTTGCCATCAGATAAAAAATATAATTTTCGGCGCAAAATAGCGAAAATCCTTATTTTAATAATATTTAAATAAAACCTTATCTGTTTTATCTCGTTTTGGTAACGAAACCGGTGGAGTGGTTATAATTTACGATTACAACGACATTAACGTCTCCTTTACTATGTACGCCGCGTCGTACGACGCCAAAATGTCTCAGCTAAAGCTAATTCTGATTCTGGTTCTGACGAGATGAAAGTGCGCGACTGACTGGTTGGTTTGCTTCCCATGCAACTACAACTCAGTTCATTAGCGTCATCGTTGCGACGTTGTACTTACGAGATGCTGTGTAGACGGTGTAGACTGTCTAACATACAGATTATGTTTTAAATTTTTAGCAAATAGACAAATAAATGTTCTACTTTCACCAATGCATCAATGGTGCAGTAGACGCATGATAAACCATAAAGAGAAATTTTTTCAACATAGAACACACACGTGAACTGTGAACATAAAATGTATCACATCAGCTATTAGTTACTTTTAATAAAAACCTTTTTAAAATAATAACACTAAATGCTCGTTTTTTGTTCGAACCGTTGTAAAAAATTTAAATATATGTATTATAGCAGAAACAAATTGATTGCTTAGAAATCTGACAAGTTATATATCGTTGAGCTTGTGTTGCTGCTATGATATATCAGTTAGCTTCTGTCCTTCACAACGAATTTCTATCGATAGTTTGCAGCTATTGTTGTCATCTTGTGGGTTATCGATATTAAATTGTACACAAGTAAAAATAAATAGCAAAACAATTTGATTTACAATGGAATTTTCAGAAAGTATGGATTTGGAAAATGAACGAGTGTTGAAGTTAATATTCCCAAATGGAATTCCAGGTAAGTATTCTAATTTCATCCAAATACACGCCCAGAAAGCAGTTTGGCCTTCCTTTCCAAGATAATCTGCGTGGCAATCCGGAGCTGGATAATTATTTGGCAAAATTGGGAACCTGCAAAGTGGAGCAACTGAAGAAGGAGCAAACGAGGCTCGCCGATGAGACAAAACGCATATTAGAACAAACCCAAGAGCTGGCCATATCGAATTACAAAACATTTATCACAACAGCTGAGAACTCTCGTTCGATATTCCATGAGTTTCAAAAAGCCGAAGATCAGGTTGACACGCTAATTGGCAAACTACCTGCGTTCAGCGCCAAGTGCGAGGAATTTCTGGCAGAGTCAGCCGAACTAGCCGAGCAGCGTCGTCTGAACAGCACAACATTGCACAAAAATGCTCAACTGCTGGAGATACTCGAGCTGCCGCAGCTAATGGAACGTTGCATACGCGAGAGCCGCTACGAAGAGGCCCTAGAGCTAGCTAGCTACGTCCAACGTGTAGGCCAGCATCAAGGACATCTTATACCCGTTGTCAATGTTAGTAACAATACCTCTATTCACTCCTTTTTCATTGGAGTAACGATTTAATGTTCAACTGCACACACACAGAGGAAGAGATTTCTGATCCTATACTTAATATGCATATGCTTGCTCAGATTGAGCTGACTTGGTGTCGCCTTGCCTGTCTGACCATCCGTGATTTCGACACTGAAGTCTGATTCTAGACACTCGAAATATTTATTTTTGTTTATAATTTTTTTTTTTTTTTAATTTTTTGTTATGTATGTATGCGTTAAGAGGTACAGTGTATCTATTTATCAAATACTCCCATCAATAACATTCTTGCTTATATTCTTGTGCAGAGTATTGTGCGTTCCGTGGAGGCATTGTGGCATACGATGCTCGCGCAGTTAGTTGCACAGCTACGGATGGATCTGCAGCTGCCCAAGTGTTTGCAAATCGTTGGGTATTTGAGACGCATGCAGGCCTTTGGCGACAACGAGTTGAAATTGAAGTTTCTACAAGCGCGTGACGCTTGGTTGACATCGTGTTTAGATGCCATACCAAAAGCAGATGGTATGCATTAACTATATATTAATTAGAGGCAACTATAAAGACAACCAAATGTAATTTTTTAGCTCAGCAGCACTTGACGAAGACGATCGAAATAACACGAATCAATCTATTCAATATTATAACGCAATATCGCGCCATCTTTCCGGAGACGGAGCTCGTAAACAAGTCGACGCCATTGAAGCAGCTTCAAGGTGTTACCTGCAATGGCAATAGACTGTTTGAGGCCTGGCTGCATAATAAGGTAAGCCAATTTGTTTTAGAACGCGGATTCCATAACTTCCTATCCTTTTATATTCTAGATAAATACTTTTCTGCTAACGCTTGAGGAAGATCTGGAACGAGGTGTTAGTTCAATCGAAACAGTTCTGGGGCAATGCATGTATTTCGGACTATCCTTTAGTCGCGTCGGTGCTGATTTCCGTGCACTAATTGCGCCCATTTTTGTGCGCGTGGTGCGTAATAAGTTCGAGTCGAGCATTATGCAAGTCAATGAGAACTTTGAAAAGGAACTGGACAAGTTTACGCTGATTAACAAAGTTAGCTTACACACACGCAAGCAGCTCGATACGGCAGCTTTGTCTGGCAGCGAACGGGATTTGGAATCGTATGCGCCGCCTGAGACCTTGCTTGACTTTTATCCACTTGCCGTGCTGTGCAATGGATATTTGAATGCCCTAAATGAGCTACGTCTTTGTGCACCCTTTGCCGTGGCCACAGATGTCACCTGTTGCTTGCAAAGTTCACTACAATTGGTTGCACAACGAGTGCTCGCATTCTACCGCCAAGAGCAACAGGCCTTTACACCCAATGAACGAGAGACGTTTGTAAAGCTCTGTTCGTGTTTTGCCTACGATCTAGTGCCCTATGTTCAGCGCTGCATTCACGGTGTCTTCCCACCTCAGTCCATAACTGTGCATCTTGGCATAAGCCTGTTGCAGCTGGAGCAACAGCAGCTAACGTTTTTACTGCAACCGCAGATCATGGAACCCCTAAAGCATTTGCTGCCCAGCAAAGTGCTAATTCAGCCAGCTGCACTGACTGCTACAGAGCTCACGCCGATCGCAGCAGAGGGCTAAACCATATGCGTAGCGATACATGTTTATTATATAACTTATAAATTAAGAAACACTTGGCTTGGTTCCAAAATTATTTAATTGGCTGTAATTTGTTTAATGAATGTCGAGTGAATCATTATTTAATGTACATTATGAATTATGAGTATCTTTTATATAAATGTCAACAATTAAAACTACTTTGAAATCAATTCATTTTATACTCGGTCACAAAATGAGAATTGTGATACGCAAATGCTGCGGTTCCTCAACCTGTAATTCCGTTTAGGGGAAGTAATGTATGGTTTAGAGTTTAATTATTTGATTTACATTTGTACTGTCGTGTATAAGTGTCCTGCAGATGTAAATATATTAATAAAAATACAAAGAAACATGGCAAATTGCAAGTAATTTTATCTTTCACTATTTATCCTAAGTGAACTGGCGCCTGTCTAAATTCTAAAATTAAGCCCAATTGAAATGGCTAAAAGCCGTGGATTACGCTGCTAATTTGTAGCTAGTCTTGGTTTTGCACTAGGCGAAGATAAACGCTATGAAACGCATTGCGAATTTTAGTTGGAAAATGTGTGAAGCCCGCAAGAGTGGAATAATATTTGGATGCCACTTCCTGAACAATCAGAAAGAGGGCGCCATTCAACTGCCAAATCCGAAAGGCGGGTGGGCTGGTGGGCCGTAGGTGGTGCGTGAAGCGCCGACATGGCCGTTCATGGCAGATTGAGTGCGGTTAGGCGACCGGGAAACGTTTATAAGCAAATTTCGCGTACAATGACTAAATTTGGAGAAAGCCGTGCGAGTATTTTTCTTTGTTGTTGCTCTCGGACGAATCCGACGCGAATGCGAATGCGAATGCGTGTGCGAATGCACTGTGCTGAAAATTGGAAAACATGGCAACTGAATGCAAGGACATGGACGCAGATGTGGATGTGGATGTGAATGTGGAAATGAACACGGTTGCGGCTTATCGTTGAACGTCAGAGGCCGGACGGCCGAACGGACGGTTTGACGACCACGGCCTTTGTGGGTGCACGGACGTTTCTGTATTTTTAAGTCCACCACTAAATACAAACGAAAGCACTCAAGCACAAGTTGGTCACGATTGGGCAACCGGGTAACAGACAACAGAGAGTGCCACCTTTTTGGCTGGACAAAACAAAAAGCGGCCTACAGCCTACTGCCTACTGCCTAGTGACTAGTGGCAGTGCCTACTGCAAATGGAAGTTGCGATTTTGATTGCGAATCGAAATAGATTTTGTGGTATTTGCAAAGCAGTGCCAACCAGCTAGCGATTGTGAGAGTGTTTGGAATGGGTGGATGAGTGGACGGCTGGACGGGTGGATGGGTGGGTCTCATTTGTTACATTTGCCGCTGCAACCACGTACAACATTGCGTATACGCGTTTTGTTCATTTATTGATTGATTGAATTGAAAGGGGTTGGTGTGGGTATTTGGGGTAGAGTTGAATGTTTCTTTTACACGCTTGCTCGCTTCGTTTTGAAAAGCGTTCGTTTATTTTGCAATTTGTGTGGCCGTGTCTCTTAGTTTTTGGGTACAGAGACCCCATTCAATCGCATATCCAGGTTGATTTTTGCCAAAAAAAACTTGTATAGTGGTAAATTCCTTCGCATATGAAGTGAATTCGTTTTTTTTACGCTTTTGGTATCTCAGTAAGAAATTAAATTTAGTACTTAGCGGAACTTAAGTGGAAAAGGCACTTCGGGGCTTTTTATTTGCGTCAATTCAATTTGGCTACGTTTTCCTATTCAGTATGCAAAAATTATTACCGCAACGTATTGGAATCTTAGCGAGCAGTGACGACTTTTGGGTCTGTTCAACGAGTTGGAAAACACCCAGGGATTTCGATTTCAATAGGTTGTTTTTTTTCTTTGGCGGAACCTCGCTGCATATGTAAATTCGCATACAAATCACTTGCGCGCTCGCCAAACGCCCTTAGGGGAATCCTTTAGTTATCCTTTAGCGATTTTTCAAATAAACACGAAACATAGACGGATTTTTTTCCTCTTCTTTCGGTATATTGCCTGCGGCAAGGAAAACTTTGACGCGCTTCTTGTCTGGGCGAAGGGCCATCAAGTATCTGATTTCCTCAAACTCCTTTCGGTTTCGGTGGAAATTGATAAATTTAGTTATTTTTTTTTATTTTTTTTCTTATCTGTCACTGATTCGGGTTTATTGTCGTTGTCAGCAGATATTACGACAATGCCAATCTGCGCCTGCAGGGCATTCAATGTGACATATGAGCAGCTTCCTGTGTCCGCATTTATTTGATGTGTTCAGGATTCTGATATCTTCAATCTGAGTCTTATTGAATATTCATAATTAACAGATCGAAAACCCACAACTGTTAGCAAGCGGACACTGGCTTTCCTCGATTGTGCTCCATGAGCGTAGAATTCTCAACTGGTTATTGTTCAGTAACTTTTAAAAGTTATGCAGACAACTTGCTCACTGTTTGTATGTGACCTTAGTTATTTTTTAATGAAAACTTACTTTTATTAATTCATGCATAATTAATATATAATGATTTCTGCTGAGACTCGCAGACAATTGTTTGATATACGAAGGGAAATTAATGCTTTCAAGGCTACATCTGAGCTAAAGAAATAAACTTAATTAAAAAAATATATTAGAGATGATTAAACTGCATATATAAAGGCCCTACAAAGTTCCTGCCTAAAATGCAAATTATATAATTATAATATATATAATTATATAATTATATTTAAGCGCATGCTTGTTAACAAACGCATCTGATATGTTTAATTTTATGTCGAATCTATCTTTATATATAAGTAAGAATAAATTAAAACTTAACATATTTTTTTCTCTAAAAGAAATTGCAATTAATATTCAATTGTCATTATGACAATAGTTAGTCCGCCTTCTCTTCTCTTCTCTGACTTCTTCTACATCTCCAGCATCTAATTTATTCTTCATTCTATGTAACCGCCGAACGGAATGGAATGGAATGAAAAAAAATGAATGAAAAAAAAACGTCACGTTGCAACAAAGTTGAGCAAAAATGTATTCACCATTCCATTTTTCTTGCATAGCAGTGATCCCCTTCTCTCCCCTCCCTCATTTTACCACTTCGGGCAGCACAATTTCTTCTTCTTTTTTGCACGTTCATTTGACAGCAAACCTTTTTCTCGATATACCCTGTAACCATTGAGGAGCTACATACAAAAGCAGTTGCACTGTGCAAATCAAAAATAGGTAAATTATTCAGATCTTTGAAGCATAACACTTGGTTGATTCTAAGATCTAGATATATATTCATATACTTATGTATCCATATAAAAATGCATTCTGCAGGGTATTTCTAAACATACTTAGCCGGAGCATCATTAATTTTTTTTCTTAGTTTTTTTCCCCTGTGATATTTTTTATATTCTCAATTTTTATATTCTATATAAGTATGTGGCAATGTCTATGTGTGAGTGTATGTGTGTGTGTGTGTGCATTTGTGTGTATATTATATTATTGCGACGCGAACCAATAACCATCGACCGGGCAGCGTGTTTCAGCTTGCCATTGGCTTGTCCTCGTTCTCGTTCTTCTGTGGCAGCGGCTCAAGCCCAGACTCAAAGCTACATCTCAGTCTCAGCTTTTTTTCCCACAACTACTGCGAAGTGTGTGTGTGTAGGTAGAATGACTGACCGTTAGGTGCTGCTGCTGCCGTCTCTGACCCGATTCACCTGTCCGCCATGCGAATTTTGCTCTGTTATTTCTCTTCTTCGTCTCCTTTGTATTGTTGCCATGAGATAGTAAAGGTGCCAGCCAGTCGAGCTACAGCTTGGATGAAACACTCGTACTCCCAGCCCCCACGTTGAGGTCACCTCCATTTTTTTACGATTCGCTTGGGTTTGGTTCTGGCCAAAGCAATATAATTTATTGAAGTTCTAGCATTTTTCAAAATGAATTTTTTTTATCAGCGATGATTGAACAAAGTATGTGTGTGTGAGTGTGTATGTGTACGTGTGTGAGAACTGTATGCTGCAGATACCGTTGTAATTGTGTCTGTAAGCTTGGTGGCAGCCATTGTTACGAGTCCGGGTTGCGCACGTTTGGCCTGTCCATTGAACGCCATATTATTGGTCGATTGAAAAGTAAAACATTTTTTATTATCCGCACGTGTGCAGGCAGCCTCCCATAGCAGAGTCAGTCCAGAGTTACACACACTTACATACAATGTACCGTTTTATGACTACGAAAAAAGAAGACGAAGTTACATTGGAATGGTTGGTTTTCGGTTGGGTTAGTTGGATCACTTTGACCGCCTACCTGTTCGTTGACCATAAAACTTTGGACTTAACTACCCTTAGGTGCGGTCGGCAAGGTGAGCTCATGGCTTTTATGATGCCCACCCACACCGAGCGACAAAAGCGATTCGCTTTTGTGTGTGCTCCTTCATATTTGATAAGCAAGTTTTCCTTTTTTACTTTTACTGTTGCACGCCATCAATATCCTTCGGCCGCTCTTTATCTCTCCTCTCTTCTCTATCTTACTGTCTCTCTCTGCACTCAATCTCTCTATCTTTTGCTCTCGCTCTCTCCCGCTGTGTGTCTTTCTCTTCCTTTCTCCTGGTTATAAAAATATTTCATTCAATTTTTTATTCCTGCCGACATTCGGTGGCTCTCGCTCTGTTGCACGTACATCATTCGAGGGGCGGGGGCTAACTTCCCTTTTGCTGATTTTCTGTTTCGCTTGCGCTCGGTTTTTATGTCCAGCTATTTATTTGCCCAGCCAGCGGACCACATGGTTTCTCATTTTTTTCCTTCTTCTTCTTCTTCTTTTTTTTTCCAGCGGCCACAGGTCGGCGACGCCATTGCCATTGCCATCACCATCGTCATCGTTTTCTTCGTCTTCTTCGCTTTCGTTGCCGTGCTGCGTCGTGCTTTAGCTTCATAATTTTTTCGCCGTGTTCGCCGTTGCTCTCTCTCTCGCTCGCGCTACCATCGAGTGCCTGCCTGGGCAGTGGTATTCAGCTGCTGCTCTTCGTG